AAAATTCCGTGATCCTAAAAGTATGCAACGCAAAAGGGAAATTGCAATACGGAAAAGTTGTTGCTAAAAAAGAAAGCCAAGGGCTAAAACGAAACGAGTAAAATGGCCAAATGCCTTTATGCATTTTTCTTGGCGGGGCCCCATCAACATAAACAGCTGTTTCCGCTAAGTGTACCTGGACACTCGAGGAGTTTTCCCACAGAGCGGGAGTGTGTGTGTGTGTGTGTGTTAAAATGACAATGCTCCTTTGTGGAGCGTCGAATGGACATGCACAAGTGGACAGCGGAAAATCGGAAAACGGGATAACAGCTGGCTCAGTTGGTGGCATCGTCAAGGAAACGACGATGGCATCGTTTGGTGTCCTGATGGAATTTTCTTCCGCCTTCTGCCGGCAAAGTGGGGTCAAGTGTCACCAACGCAGAGGAAGATAGCGCCAAGATTGGTAAGTAGCTTACAGCACTCTTGGCTCAAATAATGTTGTACTTATCGTGTCGGAGGCAAAATTAGAGCCTTCAAAACATGGCTTAGAAAAATCATTTTACAAAAATACATTTTCTAAACATTTCTGTGTGAGATGGGAACGTTGTAGGAAACCAAACAAAATAATATTGAAAACCATAAAAAACATACTTTAACATACTAAACATATTATAAATATATGTATTTATATAAGTCAATCAATATTCTTTAGTGTTGTTGTTAGACAGTCTGAATACTGCAATTAAAGATTACATTGTATTCAAAAATTTTAATTATTTGCTGTCTATATTCAAATTTTTTATTAACAAAATAAGAACATAAAATGGTGCAACTTTAGACATAAACTAGAGAAAACTATGACCATTTTATATTTAATTACTCCTATTCGCACAATTAAAAATATTTTTTTCTCTGCATGAATACTCCGTGCATTTACACTGCAGTTCCGTTTACATGCAACGCGAGCTTCAGATAGATTAGATTATAACAAGTCCAAACAAGTGTTTATTTATAATTTACACCTCAGAAGCCAACAGTAGCATCAACAAGTTGCCCCAGTTCCGTGCCACGAAACGAAGGCCCTAAGACCTTGCCCAAAGTGCCGGCATCTAAATTTAAATCGGAAAACGAAAACAACAGAGAATCGGAATCACAACAGTTGCTATATCTCGAGCGAAGTTCCAAACATCAACAATGAAATAATAACCAAAATAAATCGAAAGCGTGATGAGGAGATGGCAAGATCGCTGGTCTTTGGCAATTGCAGGCGGCGAGAACCTAACAATTTCGAACACGAGAACTGAAAACAGTTTTTCAGTTTCAGTTTTCGAAAATAGCCAACAGAGCGAATTGAATATGTGAAAGAATCACACAATCTATTCGGGAGACAGTCGCTGGCCAAACGCGACGCAACTGCGAGTGCAGCGGACAGTCGGTCGGTCCAACTATATAAAAATAAACCGAAAGCAAGAAGAAGCCGTCAGCGCAGGCTGTGCCAAAAAAATTTCAAAATTAGAGTACATATAGTTCAGTGCGGTTGTTTGCGTTGTAAAAACATAATTCGTCGATTTGAAAAATAGTAATAACATTACCCAAACATGAGCTCACTGAGCGTTGCGCGAAAGGGCAGCGGCCAGCTGGAGGTTATGCAAAAGGCTGGCTGGAAGATCGATAGCGATGAGAAGGGTAGGTCAAATACTTCCATTAAATGTCCTCCAAATAATCTGTACTTCTTGTAAAAATAAACAGCCTGTTACATAGATGTTGAGGAGGATGACGACCAGGACACCGAAGGAATGATTGAGTCAAAGTGGTGTTACCTACCTGATCTGATACTAGAGCAAATCTTTACCTACCTCAGTCCCAAAGAGCGATACTACGCCGGACTGGTGCGTATATAGAAATAGCACATAATCTGTTTATAAATTGGGCATTAAATCCATATTTAAATAGTTCCTTTATATTAATACAACATGTCCACATGCATGCACTTACTATAGAGTTTATTTGCCTCTCTCCAGTTTTATTGAAACACTCCATTTTCAATCTGCTTAAATCTTTAAAAATTTGATGATTCTTGATAATAATTTAATTTATTTGAAAGTCAACTCCCCGATAATTCTATATTTAGACTTTTATGTAAAACACCTTAACATAATATGGAGATTTCTGGGAATCGAGTTTGTCACCGAGCATCGGTGGTTCAGTGGTAGAATGCTCGCCTGCCACGCGGGCGGCCCGGGTTCGATTCCCGGCCGATGCATAAGTAATTTTTTTTAGTTTTTAAATTATAATGCCCCATGTAAACCTTCAATATGAAATCGTAGATATTTAATTTGTTTTTTTCAGTAACTTTGAATACAATTTACATGTTAGCTCCTCAAATTTTTGGAAAATCGCAAATTTTTTTTTTCTTGTTAATCACAATCTAATCTATGGAAAAAGCAGATAGGGAAATGGATCTTAAGTTATTTTTCTGAATATACTTACAAATCATAATGCTCAAAATTCTTAATTCTTTTGCAGGTTTGTCGCCAGTGGTATAGAGCTTTCTATTTGCCAACTGTTTGGAACAACTTTTTGGTGGATGATCGCACACTCACGAAACCAAAGTTTAATTACTACTCCGGTTGGCAATTTTGCCTCGATCACATGCGAACCCAATACTGCCTGTCGAGGATCGGCAGATATATGCGAGGGATTGAGTTTCGCCCGTGGCACAGCTTCAACAACATCTTCCAGTTTATGACCATGTTGACGTGGAACATTGACAAGGTATTAATATTATGTTAACATATTTTCAATGGTATTCTAAAAACCTTCACTGCTTTAGGCCAATGAGGAGAATCCTGGGCCGGAATTCTTTGGCATGGGTAGCCGGATCCGAACTCTAGTCTACCACTTTCCGTGCAATATGTCGCAGCCCAACGATCCGGAGGGAATCAAACTATTCGGCACCGGCGGTCAGCTTCTGAGGGTCCTGAAGGAGCTGCTCCTTCGATTGACGGACCTTCACACCCTCAAACTGGTGGACTTTGTACTGGAACGTTACGAGGCGAATCATTTGCTGGACGAGGTCGTCTGCAGCTGCTGCACCAAGATGAGGGTCCTGAACCTGGTGAATGTTACCACATTGCACTGTCCCATCATGCATGTGGGTCTTTTCCTCAATCTGCAGGTGAAAACGTTTGCATTTCATGTGTTGACACTGCGCTAAATAAAGATTGTGATTTAGGTGCTCACCATATCGCCCCAGAACATAGATGACGATGTTTTGTCCCTCCTGGCGGACACCAAGCTGCGTCACTTGCACTTGCTGCAAAACTGCTATACGCCAAACCACCTGACAATAAGTGCCTGCGGCGTGAAGGCCTGGCGAAATGTGAAGACGACCAATCCGCGCCTACGCGTCCACCTGCGAGTGGAGAATCTGGCGGATGGAGAGGTGGTGATGCAGCCGGAGGCACCTGTCCACAGCATCACGTACTCTGCGCCCCAGGCACGGATACGCGCCGAGCTGCTCGTCCGCATGGTGGACCACTATCGCAATACGCTGGCCGTTTATGGCCACGAACTCCTGCCGCGCTTTTCCAGCCCCAAGCCATTTCACAGCCGCATAGACAGTTTGATGCTGCTGATGTGCCGGCAATGCTTCAACATGGACACCCTGGTGAGTCATCATATTTTCATTCACAATCCAAGCAATCAGTTAGATACCAAATAATCCAATTGCGGCCCAAAGCAGTTGATTGTCCCTAGCCTCAATAAAATAGTGTCGAAAAACATAATGGCCTTACCAATAAGTACTTTACACTACTTTGCTGAATTATAAATATAGACAGAGTTGTTTCATAAGGTTTTTTGCGCCATTTATAATATATTCTTAAAATGTAACTCAAAACTATGACAATCTTCAGCAACATACATATAATATTTTTAAATATTAATTTCGAGTAAGTAAACGATTTCTAAGCTAGCTCGTTTTATTTGTGTAAAATACAGATTCGCGACTCACTACCAAGCTAAACATTTCTGAAAAACAATCCAACCTTTAATTTATATATTGATCAGAATATCCAAAGAATAATAACCTATTCAATTTAAAAGCTTGCAAATTGATGACAAATTGTTGGTGTAATTAGGAATATGTAGAGACTCACTTAACACCTTAACACCTTATGCCCCCAGATTATCCGCGAGAAAGTCTCCACCTCGACGCTCCTGCTCATTGCGAAAACGGCCAAGAATCTCCAGCATCTCCATGTCCGGCGATTTGCGGTGATCTTGCGATGCGACTGGCCAAGACATCCGGAATGGAGCGATGAGTTCAATGCCTGGCTGAAGCGAAACTCCCGATCCTACGAGGCCGTCGAAAGGGAGATCTCACAGATCCTGGGCTACAAGTGGAGTCTGCTCAGCGATCGTGACTTCAAACAGCTGACTGTGAATGTTAAATCGGGAGCCTAGAATTCTCCTGTCCCCTCCCATTAAGACTTGTGATAAACGGTGTAGAGCTTTAATAAAAAAGATAACCCAAAAATTACTGTGCGAGAATACACAAATATTGAAAACAATTAACAAGGGGGCCATTGAAATTTGCTTGACTTTTGCTGATGTTTGTCCACCTTGTTGTGAAATTCCCAAAATCGAAATGTCAGAATCATTTAAAAGCCAATGGATCGATGGAGATGCATCAGTTTGTTGAAGTAGCCTGCCAGGAACATGAAAGCTGTAATCGCCCTCATCGGACTTCTGTTCCTCATTGGAGCCGCATTTGCTGTGCCTCATTTTGGAGGCGATCCGCATTACGATCCACATCACCACGATGATCACCACGGTCGCCACTACGATCCCCACTACGATCCGCACTACGATTCCCATCACCATCATCATTACTAAAAAGTAATGATTTTTAAAACCAACCGTTTCTTTCAGTATCATTCGATGTGAAAAAATGTAAAGAGTATCAAAGAGTATATTTTTAATGACACTTCTTTTCTGAGTAGAGATTTACTTAATTACCAAAATCTCGTGTGCGATTTAACACAAATATCGTGAGCAATTGTAAATTTGCATTGGAGGGGGAAATACAACTCGAGGAGCAATTCGCACCTTTCGGCAGGTGAAATTTAACTTATTTTGTTAACTTATTTGCACACGCAGATATTGAAATTCCCAAAATCGTAACAACATCATGCTTAAAAGCCGAAAGCATCAGCTCAGATTTGTCAGTTTGTTTAGAAACCTTGCCAGAGACATGAAAGCTGTGATCGCTCTTATCGGACTTGTATTTTGCATTGCTGGAGCAATGGGAACACCTGTTTTAGTGGGATTGCCTCTTCCGCTGCCAATTGGAGTCGGATTCGGAGTACTTGCTCCTCCACCACCACCGTCCTACGATTACTATCCGTACCCACATCACCACCATCATCATCATCATCAACCTGGATATGGCTACGATTACGGATATGGAAACTATGGATATTGAGAAACCAAAGGGTGGAAGTGGAAAATAATTTTAAAATTTTTAATCAGGCGCAAGCCTGAAAATAAAACAATATTTATTTCATTATTTATAAAACAAATCTACAAGTGTGGTTTACTATTTGGTTGAAAAAATACTTTCAAGATTAAAATTAACTCTCCAAACGCTTTAGAAGCATATTCTCTTATTTTTAGAAATGTTTTTTTTATCTGATATTTTATCTTTATTTTCGCAAAATAAAGAAAGCAAGCAAATAAAAATTACTTCTTGAAACGTATAGGTGGTGGAAACTTATTAGCAACTGTGTAGTTTTCTACAAAATTAGGTAGTTTTCATAACCGTGGCTTTTCCAAGGTTTTTCATGAAAGCTCAGCTTGGATTTTCCAACCATATATGCTTTTCCGTTGGCCAATTTATGGTAACTTGCCATAACATAACCCCCTTTCTTCTACCACAAAGCTCTCCGAATGTGGGAGCTTCCGAAGCTTGCCCTTTGCATTTGGGTTGCAGCAACGACCTTGAATGCGGCATGAAAAATGGGGGAAAGGGGTTGAATCAATGCAGCAGGAAAATTCAATGTCAGTGCCAAAGCTCGGCACTGGGCATTAAACCGCCTCCCAAACGAAATGGTATACTTTCGGGCACCCAAAACATTACGTATACGTCGGTGGACAGTGAAAGGCGCGATGATGGGTGAGCGTTATTGATGCAATAAATAAATAAGTATAAAATACAAAATCAGAGAAGAAGAAAAAAGGTGACGCTCGTGAGCAATTGCGAAAGGCGAATGAGACAAATTTAGCCAAGAAGAACCGATCCGAACCGAATCGAAGGAGACTCCCATTCTCGGTGGAGAGCAAACTGTTGCTGCTGATTCTAGTGGTGCTGCCACTGGGCCTGAGCCACTGGGTGGCTGTGGTGGCGCTGGTGGCGGTGGCAGTTTTTGTTTGGCGGGCGGCGGTGCCAAATGATGATCATGACCGCGTAGAGACGCAAATAAATATAATTGAAACACCACCAAACTATAAGCAACCAAAACCTGACGGCGCCGCGAACCAAATAACAGCAGTGCGGGCATTGTGTAATTGCAACGGCATCGCCATGAACAAAACGATTCTGCACTGGAGCTATCTGAACTTCAAGGATGTGCCCATGGATCTGTTCCTGTACGAGGATCTCGAAGAGGTCTATCTCAAGGAGAACTTTATCTCGGTGATCCCCAAGTGGTTGCTGAACATCACGACCCTCAAGTTCATCCATCTGGCGGGCAACAATCTGAGCGAACTGCCCGCAGATATCTATATGCTGGAGAACCTTGAGTTCCTCGACGTTTCCAACAATGAACTCAAGCAGCTGCCCCCCACTCTGGGTCTCCTCTTGAGTCTCCAGCAGCTGAATGTGTCGGGCAATCAACTCACCGAATTGCCAGTGGGTGAGTAGGATCCTTTAGAGATCCCTGCCACCATGGAGTCTACCCGCTTATCCCACTTTCAGAGCTGAGCAGCTTGCGCAATCTGGAGCACCTAAACATCGCCAAGAACCAATTCCGCCGACTGCCCATTCAGCTGAGCGAGTGCGTCCGCCTCAACGAGCTGAACGTGAGCGACAACGAGGCACTGGTCCACATCCCCGAGCGTATCTCCAACCTGCCCATGCTGCAGTCCCTCGCCGCCGATCGTGAGTAAACCTGGCGATCATCGTGGTCTGTCAGCCAGCCATCCATCATCGATTTCTCTTTCTTGGCAGGCTGTGCTCTCATCTACCTGCCGGCAGCCCTCTCCAAGTTCATGAACCATGTGCGCATCTTCCACAACACCGCTATCAACTATATACCCATGGTCTACGAGAAGTTCTACCAAAATTTCTACGACAACCGCCAGAGAAGTACTCCCATGTAAGAAGTTTCTTTTATTTTTCTTAAATTTAAATAATTGACAATTGATTGACTAATTTGGCTTTCCGTTTATAAACACAAGTTTGGCGATAGCTAGTATACTTACCCGAAATGTTTGTCGAAAAAGAAATGGCGATATAGTTGGCAGGTTGCCTTTTTGGATGACTAGGGGAATATTCAGCAACATTACTTACTACAGCAACATAGTTTACAATAGCAACAGTGTTAAAATTAATTTAAAGAAATGGGAAACATCTTTTAAAAGAAACTTAATAGAGCTATATACATATATGATAATAACTTATTATCATTAGATAAAGATAAGCTGTTTAAACAAAATTAATATTAAGAAGTCCTTTTATTTTTGAACACAGGCAAATATTATTGGGGTACTCAATCGATCTATACCTTTATTTAAATAATGTGTATTTCTTTTTTTTATGATACATCTTACTTACCTCTTTATTAAAGCGCCGTTCGCCGAAAGGGTTTGTTTTGGGTGCGCGAGCTAGAGACGAACTCCAGACTGCTGCTTCCGGTGGGCACCCGCACAGTATTTCCGGTTCCGTCGGCGGAGAACCGGGTCACGCTCTACGACGACTGCCTGCACGCCCTCCAGTCCCTGAACCGCTCCGTGCCCGTCTACGAGAACGCCGCCCTGCACCGCCTGCTCCCGGAACCCTACATCAGCTCGCACATCAACAACGGACCCATCGCCCGCTGCACGACTTCCACCTGCTCGAGTTGTCTGTACACCTCGTACTACTTCATGGTCGTGAAGAGGTGGGTCGGAGTCGCGTTTACGTATACCCAGTGTTAGTCATGTGGTCTTTGTTTTGATACTCCCCAAACCGGTCTGCTTTCTAATTAGGGCAGATGGACCTATCACAACCGCAAGAAGTACAGTGCAAAGTGCCTACAACGGAAATCTTTTTTTTCATTTCAATTCGAATGTTTTTAAATAATTAAAACAAAGTAAATTCGGTTTTAACGCTTTATTCTAAAATATTCATTTCACTTCATATTCATTTTCTTTAATAATTGTCTATATTACTTTAATGTGGGAATTAATAATGTTCGACTTAGTAAATCCAAACATAGAATATAATTTTCAAAAAGTGCGATTCACTTGTGTTTCGGTCAATATTCCCATTTATATTGTTTTACAATTTCTTTTTTCTTTGGAATAGGTTATATATTTTAAGTTGTTTTTTTATCTTAAAAACTATCAGTGTCTTCAATTCCCAATTTTAAATCTCCCTTTTATAGGCGTGGCAGCACCTCCAAGCAGCTCTTCACCTGCAACTTCTGCACCAACCGATGTGCTCTCCTCTGGTTGGCCATCAATGACAAAAAGTACTACCAATTGACTTGGAGAGTATCCGATGATGACGACGACGAGGATGAACACGTGTCCAGTGGCAAGTAGAGCCAGTGGAATTCGCCTGACCTCGTTGTATATAGTCATACATGTGTAATTATTTAATTATTATCTTTAATTACCATTAATTAGTTTTGTACATGTCATGTAAATGCTATTGAACTTCTGGCAACCGGCGCCATTTGTTCAAAGAGAAAGCTCACGCGAAATCTAAATCTAGGCTTAAAGAAAACTCTGTGTGGGTCCCCGTTCATGGAGATGTATGTAGTCGTCCAAAAAACAGTGATGGGCCTCTGGAAAAGCTTTGCGGCAGTTGACGCCATGGCGACCCATCCTAAAGGCATTCAAGTATCTCCCGTCCAGCGTTCGATGTGGTCTAAAGGATTAAAAGAGTAATCTTTGTGCTAAATCCAAATGGAAGTCATTTACCTTAATAATCTGTGAAGCAGTTGCGCATAGAGCCCACTATGCTCGTCCACCTGACCATTCTCGCAGATCAGACGCTCCAGACAGGCACTCCCATTCTGACCCAACTGATTCATATATCCCTCGGCGAACTTGAAGAGCAAAAGCTGGGGCTCATCCACTAATAGGCGAGCTGGGATGGATGGTGCAACTGGCTGATTGGTCACAGGACCCTTGAGACCTCGCGAACTATCCCAGAGTTTCCACCAGTAGATTGGAGTTTGCGGTTCATTAAACTGATAGTGGAAGTTCATCAGCCAGACCAGCTGACGCCAGACTTTTTTCTCCATAAACGGAACCGGAAATGCACAGCCTGAAACAAACTGTAAAGATACAAATTAATGTTTATCACTATTCTCAATAAATATTTGATGTCTAACCTTGATAACACCGCCATTCTGATAGATTAGGAACCGCTTTTGTCGTCTGTGATGACGCCAAGCCGTGAGATTGGCGTCCAATGCAAACACAGATTCCAGGATCAACAGGAAAAGTATGATCTTAGCTCTAAGTTGGAGGTTCATTTGTTAGAAGGAACTAAGCAATTATCGCTTCACGGTTTAGTAACTTACAACAGGTTCATTTTGCCGCTTCTTGTGCTGTCCGTTCGAGCTCTTGACAGCATTTACCGCCTCTATTCTTACAGATCCAATTCCATACCATCGTTATACGATTCTGTATTAGACCAGAGAGATGGGTATTGTTTTAGAGAGAGGTGAGAAAAAGCACGTGCTTCGGTGGGTTTCCTACTTTTGCATGCCGAACTAATTAGCAAACACTGCGTCTGGAACACCAGCCTACTAAGACTGGTGGCCATGACTCTAGAAAGTCATTGGACCGCGACACTAATTCAATCACTGATTGAAATGCTTTCAGGTTCAGAGACAACAAATGTAGTCGGTGTGACGTGAGTCAACCACAGGTGGCACTGGCACTTGAAGGTTTGTTTGTTTGAAGTTTTAGAGAAGAAATCGAAATACGAACAACATTGGTAAGTGTTGGAGTTGAATTTATTTGGCTTTAAATTGTGATATGGTCATGATAATGGCAAAATTTCAAAAACAAAATTAAAATCCGGTTTACTTTTGTACTGGTCTAATGTAATTTGTATTTTCTTTTTACCTAAGCCGCGTATACAATATATTTATTTATTTAAAATAATGAGTACTTGCTACTATGGTCATTGACTCCTCTAATAACTTAATTTAGACAAAAACAATCATGGCTTAGTCATAAAAGAATTTAATCACAATGTGAGTAAATTTCTAACACAATAAAGACATGGCTCTGTGAAAGTAGAGGCTGCCCAAAACTCTCCTTGGAAACCACTACCAGTTGCAGTTAGTTAGTTCGCTTGTTGGCCAGTTGACTTTTCGGGCTGCCATGGCGAAGGTGGCATTGCCATAGTTCCGTTTGTTCCATTTATCGAATAGCAGCGGAAATGTCGAAACACTCGACCAGTCCAGAATTCTGCTGCGTGGCGTTAACTGCCACAGAATTGATTTTGCCTTCGAGACAAATGTAACCACCACAAACAATTTGGCAAAGGAATTGGCAACAAAATTCAATTTTGGAATATCCAAAAGTGTACAAAATTATCCGTGACAATGATGCGACTACCGGGAATGCCCATGCTGCCAGGTGCACAATTCTACGATGTAAGTGGTAACTTGGGGTATGCATAATTATTAAACTGAGACATGTTAATAGCGTGGAAAGCGTCGCCATCCGCGGCAACAGACACTGATGCACTACCAGGGCATCCAGATGCTATCCGACCGCCGGGAACCGGAACTGGTGGAGCCCAATGGCATTGTGGCCGACCCGAAGTGTCCGCCCGTGCCCGCCCAGATCAACAGCCTGTGGGCCCCGAAGGCCACCACCAAGCTGCCACCCTGGCTGGCCTACGACAAGCAGGTGCTCTGCTTCAGCGCCTACTTCAAGGAGAACCTGACCGAGATCTACCACGCCCCCTACCAGGTGCGCAAGGTGAAGATCTACTTTTACCTGGAGGACGGCACCATGCAGGTCACCGAGCCGAAGGTGGAGAACTCCGGCATTCCGCAGGGTTGCCTGGTCCACCGCCAGCGAATCCCGAAAGCACCACCCACCGACCGCGAGTTCATCTCCATCTTCGACCTAAATGTGGACACTGACATCCAGATCTTTGATCGGGTCTACCACATCAGCGGGTGTGATGTGTTCACGCGACAGTTCCTAAACAGAGCTGGCATCTTTGTGCCCGAGGCCCAGCAGGAGCCATGGTAAGATTCGTATTCCTCATGCAATTAACTTCCTTTGTTCTTCGAATAAGTTACTTTATAGGGAAACATCTTCACCACTGAATAAGGACAACCATATTTAAAAAACATATCAATTATTTCAAAGCCTTCTATAAAATAGATTACAAAAACATTTAGCATTGAAATAATTTACTGAGTAAGTTAGATTCACTTAACTGCATTCGTACATCTGTACGTGATTTGTTTTGCAACCTATAGACATTCCTACAAGTCAATTTAAAAATTTATTGTGTTATTGGTATGCCAATACGTGAGAAAGGTAATTTTTCTATAAATCAAACTAGCTTTTATCAGCAAAAATATATATTTTGCTTTGTTTCACTATATATTAAAGTTGTTCTTAGAGAACGTCTTTTTAAGAAGTAATAATCTTTCATCGTCAGTTTACAATCTTACTTAACATACTGTATTACTGTATTTATTCCAATCCTTGAATCCTTTTTCTTAGTGATCCAACAACGGAAATCAGAAAACGTTCCGGTTTAAAGCAGACAGCTAACTCCTGTTCCTCGGCTCTGCCCAAAAAGCATTCGTTCGCCCAGTTTTTGGAGTTCGACAGACGAGTGCTTAAATTTCAGGGGTATTGGAATGACCGCAGCGAGTTTGGCGATGTGCGGAAGCTAGAGATTTGCTATTATCTCGCCGATGACACTATTGACATAAAGGAGAAGTTCCCACGGAATTCTGGGCGTGAAGGACCCAGCACTTTCCTGAAACGCGGCAAGCTTCCAAAGGAATTTTCGGGACTCCCACTGCCCGGTCAACAGACCGCCTTGACACTGCTCAATGTGCTGGGCAACAGTATGCGTGATGTGCGTTACGTAGCCGACCCGTTGAACACGGGCCAGAAGCAGGTGCTGTACTACACTGACCAGGATCTGCAGATAGGTGCCGTTTTAAATGTCTTTGGACGGGCCGTCGTCCTCACAGGCTGCGATCAGTTCACACAGAGTTACTATAGAGAAAAGGTGAGTGCTAATGAGGAATATTACAAATAATAACTATGAATCTTCTTCAAAAATCCTTTTGTAGTACGGAATCCAGGAGTTTTGCTCTCAACCGGTTCCAGAGCGTAGTGATATTCGACCGTACACTCAAGGAGGCATGGGATCGCGTCGCCTTCCACCTTATAATGGTTGGGGAAGCCACGAGGATTCCGAGGGCAACTGCATCACAGTTGAACCCAAGCCACCGCAAGCCGACTTCAAGAAGCTCTTCAAATACGATGGGTGTATCCTGCGCTTCGGAGCCAAACTCATCTCTGCCATTCGAGACAATGGAGAACGAGATTTTGTCATCAGCTACTTCCTGGCCGATGATACTGTGCAGATCTATGAGTCATCACGTAGGAACTCGGGCTTCCTGGGCGGCGAGTTCCTTAAAAAGGCGCGTGTTCCGCTGCCGGGTCAGGATATGTTCAGTTCCTCGCGACCTGAGTACTATAGAGCCAATGACTTCTACATAGGACGCACCATGACTCTAAAGGATCACATCTTTCACATTGTTTCGGCTGATGAGTTTACGCTAATGTACATGGAGCAGCATCCAAGCGAGGTAAGCATATCTTATTAATAACACTCTGTTTTGCAGTTCTTTCTTTCAAAAACATGTCAATCTGTTGAAGATGATATTTACAAAGCAGAAAGACTACTTCATTCTATAAGACAATTGCCTCTTTTGATTTTTAGAAAAATACATTTCATTCGATATGTTTAGGTCAAAATCATTCATATATAAAAAACTTTATCTAAGCTTTATTCATCCTCATAAAACTACTTAAAAATGCACTTTTAATTTTAAAAACTTTAAATATCAAAGAAGCAATTACGGTCGATTTTGTTCGGGTTGTTCATGATCGGAAAGGTTAATAATGATTTAAAAAATCTCAACTAAAAATATTTGTTTCTTTTTCAGTTCCCAGTAGCCGATATACGGCTTATAATGCAGAAGATCCGCGATGCAGTGCGACCGGATTACAAGCAGTTTGTGTTGTGCTGCAAGTCGGATGGAGACCTCGGGGACTTCACCACCGTGGGCTTTGACACACTGCGCTCCACTCTCCTGTCTTACCTGTCCAAGGAGTGCCTGCTCAACCACGAAATAGTGACCGTGTGTCGCTACTTCTCGGCTGAGCAGGCAATGCCCCCCAGTTGCGACAGAAATCGAGTGCGGGCTGCCGCCCAATTGGAGCTGAAGCGAGCTTTGTGGAACGGCGTGGAACAGCTTAACGATCACCTGAGCCACATCAATCCGGCCTGCAGACCGTACATCAGCGAGTCTCAGGTGAGATCCACTTTGCGAGGCTGCCGGTTGCCTTTCAGTCTGGAACTTGTGGAGGACATCCTAATGGTGTTGCAGCGCAACGGCCAAAATGAAATCGAGGTGCGAGACTTCTTGGCCTTCTTCAACATGCGAAGCGACCAGGTGCCCGACATTGCTCCTCTCAACATCGCTTTCGAGCTGTGCCCCAAACTGCCGTTCCTGCACAAAGGCCGACTTGTTGACTTCACCTGGTTCCTGGACTACCTCGGCCTAGAGGAAGAATTAAAGCGCGCCAACAGTTAAGAAGTAAAGCGAGGCGTATCAAAAATTGCATGTATATACAGAAAAATTCGTGGCAATATAACTTTCGGAATGGTGAACTTTGTGCTTAAGACCTAGGCGAAGAGTGTAATCCTACAGTTTTGACTCGGTGAGCCAGTTGAAGGACTGCGGCTTGCGATCAGACGACGGGCTGATGGCCACGTTGATGATGGTCGGCCTGTCCGTAAGTTGATTGGCCGCCTTGACAGCCGCCTGCAGCTGGTCGATCTCCGTGCAGAAGTAGCCCTGCATGCCGAACATTTTCATCATCTCCTCGTAGCGCACCTGAACGCCCAGCGCCGAGGGTGGTGTGCTGCAAGATAAGATTAACCGTAAGTAGTTGAACCAGATAAGCCGATAAGCCGCGTGTTCTTACATTTGGGTCAGATCGCCCTCACTGCGAATGGCCTCGAAGGTGTCCTTGTCGAAACCGCCGTAGATGCCGTTGTTGTTCACGATCACAATGGTCACGGGCAGCTTGTACCGCACCATGGTTTCGATCTCCATGCCGGAGAATCCGAAGGCGCTGTCACCCTCCACGCACAGCACTCGCTTTCCGGGCGCAAAGTCGCGACAGAAAAGTGCAGCGGCCACCGCGAATCCAGGACCCACTCCCATGGTGCCAAAGGTGCCGGCATCCAGGCGATGACGGGGCTGCTCGTTCAGCAGCATGGAGCGACCAATGTCCATGGTATTAGCTCCCTCGCTGACGATGATCGTGTCCTTGGGCAGCAGCTCACGCAAATGGTGGAACACAGCGTAGTAGTTGAGCGGCGTCTCCGTGTTCAGCGACATCTTCTGAACGGTGTCGCGGTTTTGCTTGCACTTGATGGCCAACTGCTTCCACCAATCCTGCTCGTAGCCAAAACGGAAATTCACAGCGTTCATCTGCTCGAACAATTGCTCTGCGAAGGGGCGGATGTCCGCCTGGATGGCCACCGAGGCCACCACAGAGTTGTGCAGCTCCTCGGGGTTGATGTCCACCTGGATGAACTTGACGTCCTTGTCGTAGCGCGGAGCCTTTCCGAAGTGAAGGATCCAGTTGAGGCGAGCGCCCAGGAGCAGCACAACATCGGCCTTCTGCAGGGCCAGAGTACGGGCCGAGGAGACGCACTGCGGGGCCGTGTCGGAGACCACGCCCTTGCCCATCGGGGTGGGCAAGAAGGGAAGGTTGGTGTTCTCAATGAAGTGCCGCAGGGTGTTCTCGGCATGGGCGTAGGCGGAGCCCTTTCCTATGATTACCAGCGGTCGCTTGGCCTGGCGCAGCAGCTTGGCGGCCCGGATCACATCATCATGCGGGGGATAGGCAAGGGGGGGAGCAGGATGCGCCAGTGCCTTGTAGATGCGGGCCTCCTGTGCCTTCGACTGAAGGATATTGCCGGGGAAGTCCAGGTAGGCGACTCCAGGCCGTCCGTAGGTGGCGTAACGCACCGCCTTCTCCACGTGCAGCGGAATGAGGGCGGCGGTGGCCGGACGAGCGGCGTACTTGCAGTACGGACGCGACAGCTCCACCTGCGGGCACTCCTGGAAGCCGCCGATGCCTTCGTGATCCTGGTTGGTGGCTCCGCCGATGACAATCAGCGGCCAGCAGTTGACCTGGGCATTGGCCATGCCACCTGGTTGGCAAATGGAGTTGGATTAGCAAATGGAGGTAGATGTCCATTATATCCAAAGTCATACCTGTTACATGGAGCAGTCCGGGTCCGGAAACCACCAGGCAAACACCGGGCTTTCCAGTCAGATAGCCAATCGCCTGGGCCGCGTAGCAGGCGGCCTGCTCGTTCCGCATTCCGATGTACTTCAGTCCGGCGGCCTGGAAGGCCATGGACAGCTCGATGACGGGGATGCCGATGATGCCAAAGACATACTCCACGCCCTGTTCGGAATTAGAGATAACGAAGGGGTATTTAGACCAACCATTTAGCCATCAATCAAAAATTCAAGCTCCGTGAATTTATAGACCGAATCATTAACCAATGTGCAAACACGTTCTTAAGTGATTTGCCCCGGAATCCGGTTAAAGTTTTATTGATTTTAATCTGCCCCCTGGCGATAATCGCCGCTGCAAGCACAAGGGTGTTTGGGTCGTGGTACCAAACCTTTGGAACACGGTCTTTATCAAATCTGTTCCGTCTTTTATGAACGGGAGTAATCGGGGAGGTGCTGCGACGACCACTACCAAGTGTTTTTGAACTTTGCACAACAAACAGGTGTATCGAGATAAGAGACCACTCCATTGTTCTCGCCAGCTATGCAGATTCCACGGCCCCCGAAATGTAAGACATAGACAATTTCGGCAGTGCATGTGCATATATAACTGCATTGCCAAAATGTCGGACAGACAGACGGACGGACGACCAGGTGATCCTCTTACCTGTTGCTTCAATGACTCGGCAATTATCTGCACGGCTTCAACCTCGGCCATTTTGCGCGCTGTTTGTGGTAATTGTTATAAATAAGTTATTTGCGCCGCCGCTTTACCTTGCGTACTGGCCTAAGAATTTGTTAAACAAATTAAAATATAGAGTCCAACAGAAGCGGTGACCGCTATCGATGCATCGATGGTTTCTCTTTTCGCGAACATCGATTGCTGCAACTATCGATGTATTCAGGCAGTGCGACCGTTCTTCTTGTAAATTAAATAATATTTTAAGCTACAATTAAAACTTATATTTAAATATTCGAAGAGTTTTTTACAAATTTAAATAACATTTTAGGTTACATTTACATTTTTTTAAATTATAAAAAAATCGTATGTATCACATATGAAAATAATTTATTATTTAATTTTTTTCCTAAAACAAAAGTTTTTCTTATTTGTTTCTTTTTTTTATCTAATGTTGCTTCCCCTCTAGTGGCCGTAATTAAAAATAAATTCAATAAATTAAAGGTGCGACCGTTCATTAAAAGTACTAACAAAGAAATATTAACGACAACCCTTTTATCGATAAATTTGACTTCGACTTTGCCGCGACCTTTTAAATTTTCTCAAAGACAAATTTAACCCAGTTATTTTCTATGCTTTATATTCTATAAAATAGATTGGTTGATTTTTTAATTCCTTGAATAACGAATCGTGCTTATGATTTTAAGCTCGCAATCTTTCCAATCGAGTAAATTAAGGATATCTTGAAAAAATTTTCAGACAAAACAAAAACAGATAGTCGATTTCGAAACCTGCACATTTATTCACATTTTTAGAAGTATGATTCTTTAAGACAAAGGAATATTATATAGCATAGAAACATTATACGATCTATTGCCACGCCTTTCTAGGTAGCTGAGCCTTCTGCAGTTGATAATTGATGTACAAGCGATAAGTGCAGTAATAAAAAAACTCGACCACAGAAATCATGCTTAATCCTAGGCAGAGGTTGAAAATACCACCCAAATCCGCTGAAAATGACCTTTGTTAATTCCTCTATAATAAAAAAAGATACCTCAACTCACATAGTAATCCAACCCAAGACATAACTGTCACTTTCCGGATGACTGGGACGACTTGCTTGGCCAGATAGACTCGTAGTACGAAGCTATCATTGTTGAGCAGCTCCTGCGAGCTGTTGGATATGGATTTAGCCGAAGGGGTCACATAACGTATTTATTACTCACTAGTATCGGCTCACTGAGAACCTGTGCTGGTTGAGATCCGTTCTGTAGGAGAGCGTGGAGTAGGTTACATCGTAGCAATTGGGCAGGCACTGGTCACATCGCACGCTCTTAAAGTTGTCTGTGGAAAGGAAAATCTAGTTGGTTTATTTAATTATATGTAGTTATGTTGAGAATCACTAAAAATAATGCAGAAACATAAATACGATAGTATAAAATATAGTGGTTTAATGGTCATACAAAAGTTTATCCTGACTGTTCCTTTGTAACACGAAATTATGAAAGCATTTATACCTTTTTAATGGGCTTACTAAAAAAGGATTTAAAGTTGAAGAATTCGCGAAGGTATAATATGTAAATATAAATATGAAATAAATACCTTTCATTTTTATGTTTACATAACATCCATTAAAATAAAATGAATAAACCATCATAGAGAATTTAATATCACCCACCATAGTTCTCCGCGTAGCAGAAGGTGTCGTTTAGGTTGCACTCCTTGAACTTGTTGCCCACGATGGGCAGCAGATACGGATGGCAACCGCACTTCTGGACAATGGCCTGTGTCTGGCAGGCGAGCAGGCAGGCTGCCTGGCGATAGCTCCTCAGCTGCAAGTCGTCCGAGATGAGGCAGTCCCTCTTCCGTTCCGAGAGCTCCAAGACCTCCGCCGAAGAACTCTGCACCGTGGGCGAGACCTCCACAAAGCTCTCTGATCGCGCCGTGATTGTGACCGAGGCGGCCGACTCCGTAACGTAATCCATCGGATGGTGCACCAGGACGATGAGGCCGGTGTTCAGGTTGCGCTCACTGCCCTCCGCACCCACAAAGGTCAGGCCGCCGTCCATGCCAAAGATGTTGGCCGAGAAGGGCACAAAACTGGCGTTGCGCGGATTGTAGTTGAAGGAGCAACAGGGACCCAAATACGCCGTCGTCGGAATAAACGACAGGTACTCGTGGCTCTGGTTGCACTGGAACTCCGTGTGGCCCCAGAAGCAGCGCTTCACAAAGTCGTAGCATCCCGGACTCACGGCCATCGCCGCCTCCCAGGTGGACACATTGTTAAGCCGGAGGACGGCATCCGTTGCCCGATAGCTGTCATGAGCTGGAGGCTCGAAACTCTGGTCGGTGAATGCGTTGAGGAAGTCAAAACCGGCGATCACCTCTGCGATGTCGTACTCCTTGGGAATCTTTCTGTAATAGAAACTCCTCCTTTTGATTGGATTCCCGGGCAATATTTTTAAGCTACTCACAGCGTCTTCACATAACGATCGACCCGCTCAGAGTTGACCACCTTTGGACTGCAAATGGTCACGCCCGGAAAGGCAACGTCCGTGATGGAGAGGTCATTGGAAATGGTGTTCAGGATGGGGTAGGAGTAGAACTTGAGCCAGAGCAACAGGGTGAGGTAGATGCTCAGCAGGAGCAGCTGCAGCAGAACCGAGGACCAGATGAACCTGGACAGGCCGTGGGTGCGATTGCGGCGCATCAGCCACATGCCGCTCAACTTTGTTCGTTCCGTGTATTCCCAAAAAGTGGCTAGAATGGTGTCCTTCCATAAACTTGGCTCCTTTCCCTTCTTCCTGCTGCTGCTGGACTCGGAGGTCCTTTTGCCTGGTGATGGCCACCTTCCTGGTTCTATCATTGCGTACTGAGTTGTGGTGACACTCAATGCGCAGGCTTTTATAGGCAAGAATAGTGTCCTTAATGGCTGAAAGTTTGGGTGCTAATTATGGGCTGTTTAAGTGGCTAACTTGTCTCGGGAAAGTATCTAATTTGTTGTGAGCATTAGTGGTAATCTAAAAACTATAAAAGTTTAGCAGTCGATCAATAAACTTTAACTTGAAAACTTGCCAGTAGATGTTAAATACATGAAAATGAATAGCCGTTTAAATATGTTAAAAGTGTTATCCTAATTTCACCTGCACGTATGAGTAATACAATTAAACTGAAACAAATATGTATACAAATTTTATTTTCTATTTATTTATTAAAAATTAAAAATCTTGACAAATAATATTTTTTATTTCTGAAAACGAAAGCCCATTATTAGCTATTTTCTGATTTCACACAATGTCTGTGAGTAACCCATTATAATTTTGAATTTAATGTGAATTTTCGCACCTAATATTTGCCGCGGCGTTGACTTCACTCATAACCCACTAAAAACTCGTATAGGTATGACGTTAATTCGTAATTAAAAATGGGAATTTATTGGGTAGAGAAATGTCCTCAAATTTGATTAGCATTTGACTAATTATGAGTGTCAATTCCGTTTTTTGCATGAGTGCCTAATCGAACGAAGTTCTGCAAAGAGCCGCAACCTGTTCGCCAAAGTGTTTCCCCCCAAACCAGGCTAAGGTCGTTGTGCCAATCTAAGACGAACTGGTTTCGACCTCACCTGACTCGTGAGTCAGAACTCACGTGCGTTAAATGAAACCATTATCATTAATAATAAATACACGGCTAAAGCTTTAATAGGACTCTCCATAAACAAGTACACATCGTAGTTATGGCATAATACTAAAGATACAACATCACAGGTGATTGTCAGGGCACAAACTACAACTTTGTGTTGACAATATCCTCGCGAGACTCGGTGGTCTGCACCTCGTTCCACTTCTGGATCTTTCCCGATCCAAATACCCAGAAAAACAGGGCGGGCAATATATAGGCAGCGGCTCCAATAATGAAGATCCAGTGCCACTGATCGATCGTGTTCTATGGGTAATGGAAAATTGAGGATTAATTTTGATAAAGTATTTTAAGAGGTGGTGTCCACATACCTCGTTCTTTGTAAAGGCTGCCACAATCAGGGGCGAGAATATTCCCGGAGTGGTGCCAATGCAGTTGATGATTCCGTACAACGTGCCCGCATAGTTGGGGGCCAAATCCTGCGAATTGGCCAAGTTTGAAGCAGTGGCAGCACCGTTGAAGCCCAGCGAGATGGTCATAATGGCCACACAAACATATGGATCGCGACCGAAGTAGGCCAGGATAATCAGCATTACTCCGGGCAAGATGTGAGCTGATCATGATTAAATAATAAATATATAAAATACTTTATTTTCTAATGATCTAAATCAACTTACAGGGCAGACAGAAGGCCTTGCGCATCTTGGTTACGGACCACCAGCCCCGGCGACGAATCCAATCCGCCACAGCACCGAATCCAAAGGCACAGAGCAGACGTGCCACATGTGGCAGACTGGACAAAACGCCGGCGGAGGAGAGGTTGAAGCCCAGGACCTCGCTCAAGAACTTGGGCGTGGCTGTGATCAGGAAGAACAGACCCCACATGCTGCCGTAGTGGAGCAACATAAGCGACCAGAAGGGCAGTGACAGGATCAGCTCTTTGTATGGGGGCCACTTCTGCAAAAGTACAATAATAAAGTATTGAAAAAATATTTCTTAGTACTCAATGTTTTGTTATTTAAAAAACCTTTCAAAGTTTATAGCCAAAGCTATTTTGTATTAACGCTGTTATTATAAAAGCGCTCCAATCAGAATAATGACCATATTTAAGTTTTAAGCAAAGTATTTTGTATATCAAAGAGACAATAGCGTTCTATCTTGTTTATATTTTAATTTGACCATTGTGTTTGTGTTTTGCCAAGCTTATCAATAAAATTAGACCATTCAAAAGATTTATCAGAATTAATGGAAAAGCTCTAATTGTTTTTATAAAAACACCGCGACATGAGTCATACAAGGTTTTACTACGACCGTAATAAGTCGAATTCGGATCTAATCCAAAATCATAGAAATAAACATAATAATTTAGAAATGGTTGGCTAATTTTAATTCCAAGAATGGGGAAGATATTTAATGAAATAATTATATTTTAGCTTAGCTGCTTAACTTACCTTCTTGTTGCTTAGAGTGCTGCCCAAGCTGTTCTCGATGTATTCCCGCTCCTTGAGACTGATCGTGCTGTGCTGAGCCGGAGTATCTGCCACCAGGTAGAACCATATGGCCACCACAATCAGCACGAATATGCCCACAATGTAGAAGGCCCAGTCCCAGCCCAGATTCTCGATGATCACTCCGCTGATGGGCCACGTGATGACAGTGCCAAAGGTTCCGCCCATCAGCGAGGCCACAAACTTGCCCTTCTCGTCCGGAGGTGACCACTTGGACACCAGGCTGTGGCAACACGGATACACCACGCCGTTGAGGAATCCGATCAGGAACCGGACGGCGAACACCGCATACTTGTCCCAGGCAGCAGCCGCCGGAGTCAGAGCCGTAAGGATTCCGGCCACCAAACAACTATATCCTGCCACATTTCGAGCTCCTAGCATTTCAGCCAAAGTGCCGGCGGGCAAGGAAGTGATCATATATCCATAGAAATAGGCACCTAAAAGAAGGGCTTGATCCGATTGCGTCCAGTTATAACGAGGTCCATACTGCAATATACAATTGTTAATATAATGATATCCATCTTCGGAATAAATCAAATTCAATTATTTTACTAGAAATACGGTTTGGTACCTTAATTAGGGCCCATTTCTCAATATCAGGTTAAGGTTAACTTGTCAGAGTTAACTTGTCAAGTTAACCTGAAGTCTAATTTTTGGGAAACACAAATTCGCCATGTGATGTTCATTTTTTAAACGAAAACTTTTTATAGACTCTTTTTTTTACACGAATGGCCTCTAGTTACGAGTTTTCTGTCACTTAACCTAAACATGACATTGAGAAAACCAAAGTTTCCAAAAAAGCTATTTAACTCAATGGCAAAAATTAACATGACATTGAGATTCCGACCAAATTATCAAATTATTTATTAACAACTTTCTTTTTAATGTTAGGATGCAGGGATGTCAATTATTCATGTTTTATCACATAAAACTTGAATTGCTATGTTAGGAAATTATATTTTAGATCAGCACTATACAAAACTATCCTTTAGCTTAAAAAAAAGTTTAAAAAATGAGAGAGTGAATTGAAATGAATAAAACTTTTTTCAGTGCCTATTGAACTCTATAATCATTTCATTAAGGAAATCTTGGAAAACTCACATTGGGCAGGGCCTCGACTTCCGTTCCATTGTCGTGGCTGCTCGTGTCCTCCACCATGGCGATGATGTTGATCGAGAGATTCACGCGCATCATATAGCTGAGAAGGCAGGCCATGAAGAGCATGATCGCCAGGTTGATCCGCTTGGGCACATAAACTGCGAACGACAGCAAATATTGGTTATTGTGACAGATCGTTATTCAATTTTCGATAGTACAGGCCCCTCGCAGCACATTAGGGCAATTAGCGGATCGGAAAAGATCTCTATTCCCGTTTTGGGGCGGGTCACAGATCTCTAATGGACTGCGCATGCGCGAATTTCAATATTTGCGATCGATACAAATTGGGGGACTTCACTTCGCCGATCGAAGATCACGTGAGGTGTTATTGATGAGACATTTTTCGCTGATGACTCGTGTGCTTGGGGCGATTTCGAGCGTGTGGCAATATATTATTATTTGAATATTTGGATACTTACAGCACGGCATGAAGGCCATTTCGGCGGCTTTTATTATGACTCCGGGTGCCTCGCGTCAGGTGTCAGCTGAAACGACAACAACAGGAAGCTGTTAGCAAGACTTTTATTTTATGCAGATCACTTAACGCATTCGGGGGTACTCCCCGAGGCATTTGCCGAAATTGTAGCCGCATAATTTAAATGAGTTATTAGGAGTTGCCGAGTCACCCTCGGCTATTTTCGGCAACACCTGATGTCAAAGATGTCTATTAATTTTAATAAATTTACATTTAAATGGTCGGTCTCGGTTATGTTTGGAAACCCGGTGTTGATCGGAACTCAAAGTAAAAGTTTATAAGCGTGTTTGTATAAAAAAGCCATAAACTTAAGCTGCTTTTTTTGAATAATTGATTTTATTAAGTTTAAAAATAAACTAATTTAGTGTCCGGACAGCGTTACCTTTTTTTCCGAAAACCAATAAATCTTTAATGGTTATTATGCGGTCTGAAACACCAAACTAAAATTAATCAAAAAACAAAACGCTTGCATCTAGATACATGATCAGATATTTCAGTTGTTCCAACAGCAGGCACACTAGAACTTAACTTGTCTTTTTATACCCTTGCAGAGGGTATTATAATTTTGGTCAAAAGTGTGCAACGCAGTGAAGGAGGCATCTCCGACCCTATAAAGTATATATATTCTTGATCAGGATCACCTCCTGAGTTGATATAGCCATGTCCGTCTGTCCGTCTGTCCGTCTGTCCGTCTGTCCGTCTGTCCGTCTGTCTGTCCGTCTGTCCGTCTGTCTGTTTCTACGCAAACTAGTCTCTCAGTTTTAAAGCTATCGAATTGAAACTTTGCACACACCCTTCTTTCCTTTGCACGCAGTATATAAGTCGGAACGGCCGGGATCGGCCAACTATATCCTATAGCTGCCATATAACTGATTGATCGGAAATGCCATAACTTTCGTTTTTGTAATGTTAGGAAGTTGGGATTTTCTATGGGTTTTATATTTGGCCAATCAATCCGACCTACCAAATTTCATAAGGATCGGCCGACTATATCCTATAGCTGCCATATAACTGATTGATCGGAAATGCCATAACTTTGGTGTTTGTAAAGTTAGAAAGTTGGGATTTTCTATGGGTTTTATATTTGGCCAATCAATCCGACCTACCAAATTTCATTAGGATCGGCCGACTATATCCTATAGCTGCCATATAACTGATTGATCGGAAATGCCATAACTTTGGTGTTTGTAAAGTTAGAAAGTTGGGATTTTCTATGGGTTTTATATTTGGCCAATCAATCCGACCTACCAAATTTCATAAGGATCGGCCGACTATATCCTATAGCTGCCATATAACTGATTGATCGGAAATGCCATAACTTTGGTGTTTTTAAAGTTTGGAAGTTTGGATTTTTTATGAGTATTAAGAATGCATCATAGGAATAATTTTGGAGAATATAATTATAGAGTATTCTGCAAGGGTATATCAACTTCGGCTCCGCCCGAAGTTAGCTTTCCTTTCTTGTTTTATCACAATTTGGCCAACAAACATTTACCATTTAAAATAAAATTCGGAATATATTTCTTTCAATAACTTAACGTCTGGTTTAAGTTAAGCTGTCATAATACATTTGGTTTTTGACTCTTAAAATGTTTGTCTCAAAAAGGGCCTTTAAAAAGTTATAAATTTTAAATGACAAATAGTCATTGACATTTTTTAAAACAGTTTATAATCATTTGTTTCACAAAATTGAAGTATCTCTAAAAATTGATGTATATGCATTAGTAAAAAGGTAACACTTTTTAGTAATTCAGTTCTACTCAACATTCATTATAGTTGCAATCTAAAAGTGATAGCCGTTTAACTGCATGGAGATGTTACTATAACTATAGCAACAAATTCGATAATCGCAACTGCACGTGTAGAGGTCTAAATAGACTAGAACTAAACCTGAATTTCCGACATTTGGGTAACAACCACTAAAACCGTATCATTCGAAAGTGCTTTCGGCGGTATCTGCGTGCAATCCACTTGTCATGTATTATGAGCACGTCCCACTTGGCACTTTACGGCCGGCACGTGAGTGTCTCCGTTTAGGCAAATTGAGTTACGGCCCAAAACAAAATACATAACTAAATCAAATGCCACTATAACCGCCGCCGATCGTGCCATCAAAGTGTCGAAGTTTCGCTAAAGGCCACAATCGAGGAAGCTGAGCGGGTATATATGGTAATTGCCCGGCGGCATGCTACCCTCATTTTCTAATCATCCGATCTATAAAAATCCGTGGGATCCATTTTTGCAATAGTATTGCTTAGAACTCGACGTTCCGAAACCATGTTCTGCTAATCGAAACATTTTTTATTAAACAGCTGCCTCCGCTGCATTTCGTTGCACAAAAGAAATGTTTGCGCGAAAGCTTTTCAGCTTATGTACATAAAGGTGCTGGCATATAAAGAGCGCTATGAATTATGGGGGAACACTTGTTGGATTGCTTGATTATTGCCCTATATATCCGGCCAAAACACAAAATATTGGTGCCCAAAAAAAAAACGGACCACGACTTCCCCTACTCAACGCCGTTTGAATTGTCCCCTTAAATCATTAAATACGATTATTGGAGGGGCTCATAAATTTTAGGTTTTCCTATACACGGCGTGATAACTAATCTCAACATCAGGCAATCAATTTTCTGAATGGAACCGAGAAATTGCAATTTAAGTTAACGTCATCTTATCTTTAACAGCAGCGCGATCCCGGTAATATACACATAGATGCAGGCATTCGGCAGTAAAAATAATTTCTCATTCCAAATATAGAAGCTCCATATATATCATATCGTATCCTACGACTAGATAACTGTATCTTAGAGAAAAAAAGAAGAAAACCTAAAAGCAATCTACCACTTTGACCCACACGGAATCGCAATGATTCTGGTTTGTTGACGTGACTTGGATGTGAATACCCGTAGATTGATTCGGGAAAACTAATTTTGGCAAACAATAGGAACGGAACATATTTTGGGCACTAGATTGGAATTATTGATTCGCAATACGTGAATTGAAATTTTTTAATTATACCTTTGAGCGAAGATCAAAGAACGCAGCTAATGACCTTCGGCTAATAGTAAGTTAGTGAACCCCTAATTGCAGGGATTGTTACAGCTAATTCGCGATCTGCCTGCCGATAACCCAAAAGCATTGTGCAAGTTCTGAAAGCCTAAACAAATTACTTTAGGGCAAAAGCAGGTTATTGTTTTTTTCGGTTTTACCCTTTTTGGTTATATGAGGAAATAAAGCTAGCGCCAGCCTCTTTGTCTCTAATCTGCAGCGTTACGCTTTTATCAACATCGTTGCCATTGACTCCATAAAATCAGCTCGACAATTTATAGGCCATAAAGTGGTGTTATAAAATGATAAAATGTAGTCGAATATGGCGCATGGGCATGGTCGTGATAATTTAGCCATCAGCTTGTAAACGATGTCGTTAGAGTCAGGTTAATCGTCAATTAGCCGCAATCGCAGTGGACCCTGTTGGTGGACTGTGGTAATAAGTATTGCCGCGATAAATGATTTGATTTACAATCATTTGGGAGGATCAATACGGGTATTATATATAGGTGGCCCACGGGCCCCAGTTGGAATCCGAAGATGAGGCAAAAACGTTGGATATTCACAGCACGCGTTCCATTTACATAAGACTTGGTAACCCACTTGACATGGTTTTGGGTTGGTTGGCAGCTCCCTTCCCTCTTTTTCTTGGGATCCTCCAGTACCAGCACCCATTTAAGTCTCATTTGTTGTCACTTATTTGTTTTGTTTGATTTGGGTTCGGTTTCGGGTCTATGGTATGTGTTTCGGCATAGAACTCTGCAAATTATTTAGACGGCGGCAATCAAGCGTAACTGGCAAACAAATCAAGACCGGTAATGAACCCAGTTAGTCGACAGTTATTGTTGTAGATCATTGTTTTTGCTCATTTTTGGTTCTCATAGCTTCACTCGGGCGAACTGCCATTTTGCACCAATTCCCATTGAAATCATATAATTTGTGTTTTTGCATTTTTGCACGTTATAATTAAATTTCGGAAAATTACGTGGCGCATGAAAATTTGATATACACTCTATAATGATTGTAAATACCTGACCATTTATTCGGTGGATTGAATAATCCGAAATCAATGCGACAATTGCGAAAATTGCACGCACATGTTAATAAAAATCACGAGTGTCAAATATTTACCCGTGCTATTCATATTTTCACGATTCAAAAATATGTACATAAGTTGTGTTGGGCAAACGGATCGAAAATCCGAATATCGTTGCATAAATCAAAAGCGTGTGTGAATATTTTGCGAAGACCCAAACCTGTACATTAACCCAGATACTTCTTTCAATCAACCCCTCTGTCGGTCCAAAGTCACAAATCCTTAGTCTGTTCATTGCAATAACTTGGGATTATAGCTTCCCGGGTTGTTGCCAAGGCCTGGAATTAGCGGAACCCACGGATCACTTGTCCGAAAGCGAGAAACAAAACAAATTGAAATTGTTTCGAATAGTGGTCGCGGTTCAATGAATCGAAATAACGAAACCAGTTATTATTTGAAATGCAAATTTTTTCGGTAACTGCAATAAAAATCGGTCGAAGCCGAAATAAGCGCCAGTCAAAACATAATAACGGCCTGTTCTGGCTTTTACTTTCGAATGTTTTGAACAAATGTAAAACAATTTGGAATTTCTCTCTTTGAAATATTGCAGAAAATAATATTACGTTAACATTTTCCTAAAGATGATACCAGCCAAAGAAAAGTTCCAATTTCTATCCAACCCAATTTAATGCAAATATTCGAAAATGAAAATCGGAATGACCCTTTTTCTATTTCTAAACATAGTCTTGAGAAGTAGATCTAAGGGGGCCTGTCTCGCTAGAAGTTTCTCATTGATTTGTTACGGAAAGTTAGCAATGAACCGCACTTTTAGCACCAAAAGCATTCGCGATCACAAAACACTCAAAGTCATCATCTCGGGTTATCTCTGTTTATGTTTTCGTCTCGTACTTCTTCGTGGCACAAATTTTGCATGGAATTTTACCACAGCCCCCGAAAAAATATCGGATGGAGTTGTGGCGCCAAATACTACGCTCGAAATGCAGCTGCAGATATTTTCCAAAATATTCGAAAAAACTGGACTTTCCCGTTGAGAGCCCCGAAATAATGGCTAGGTTGCACCGAACTCACTTTATATGGTTGCTACTTATTTGGCAGCTCGCCGGCCGAATCGAACTGCTGAGAACGTCGCGCGGCGAATGAAGCTAAATCGGCTACTGCCAATGGCATATATACTTGGGCGACGATTTTAAGCAAAACTTCCACCTGCCGCAGTCGCAGTCAGTTTCAGCGGCAACAGCAACAGCAGCAGCGACTGGGCAGCGCAAAACGGTTAAAAATTGTTTAAATTGTTGTTGACGGTTGAAGCTCACCGTCGACTGACGATTGGCTTTTTAACGCTTTCTGATAGCGTGCCAAATATCGCATGCGATTCCTGAAACAAAAAACCTGAGAAATTTTTTAACAAAAAAATCACAAAATCGTGCTAAAATGTAAATCAATAAACACGGTGACTAATAATTCAAAAATATGATCCCATATTTTCGCATTGCTAATTATTTGGACATATTCAACCAAGCGAATGCTAGAGTATATTTATTTTGCCAAAAACCAGTAGTGAACTTAATTTTTTTCAAAAACACCCCTATAAAACACGTGTTACGAAAATTCACTTGACCGTTTCACTGGTTTTATAATTTTGTTTAATTAGCGCACTTGGCAAATGACAGTGAAAAGCCACAGAAGCGCAGAAGCCACGGTATTGACTTAAGTTTATTTATTATTAAATATTCACCTATACCCGCAAATAACTTTTCACACTCCTCACCTTGGATAACTTTATTTCCAGAGTAAGCGCAGTTGGGAATTTGAATCGAAACACATCCGAGACTTTCAGCTGCTCAGCACATCTTGACAATATGGCGACATTTAGCTTCCTGGCCAACTATCTCACGGTGTGTGTGCCATATAATGGGCTTTATCTCCAGCGGTTATCCGACTTGTACCAACACAGAATGTGTATGTTGCCAGCCCCATAAAGCTAAATTGATGCGTTTGGCTGCCTGTTTCAGATAAGCAGCGATTATGAGTGGAAACTGTCAGCTTTTCGGAATATGTATTAATGACAAGCATCTTTTCGCTTACATGCCAACAAAGTGGGTAATCTGCTGTAAATAATCTTTTTTATAAGCCGCAAAAATTGATATTATTTTAGGTGCAGGACCATTGGATGGCAGCCTTATTAAAACTTATTTAATTTCAACATGTTGCAGAATTATTTTAGTACATCTTTGCTAACGCGAACGTAATATAAACAATCAAAATAATTTCAATTACAAACTCTACTTGACTAAGATTTTAAACAGAGAATCTAAACAAATTCAATTATTTCAGTTTACATCTTTCACAGCATATTCACATATAGCATGCGGTGGGCACAGACTTTTCCTACGAGCTTACTATACTCAATAATCGTATCGACATCGTTGTCTGGGCCACGCAGCTGTCAAAAAAATAAAAATTTATGTTTTGAACTAGTTCTCTTTTATATGCAGTGGTGGACATACCTGCACATAACGCTTGTAATCTGCGCATGTTTTGGAATCCAATAGCAGCATAACTTCATCCAAATGCTCCATTAAAAATTCATTCACATCCCTAGCAGCAGGATCTAAGTTTAAGCGTTGGTATTTTTCTTCATCTAGCTTAGAGCGTATGGCTAAAAAAAGTGATTCTAATTAGAAAAGATTATGGAAATATAATCGTATAATTTACCATCGGTGAGCGGAAACCACTCATAAGTCTCTGGGCACAGCAAAAATGAGGCGGACAACTTGCCCTTGTAGCGCATTTTTGGGCAGGAGTGTATGTAGAAGCCCATGTAGTAATACTTTAAGGCAGGCACATGCTCGGCGATCGTCTGCACCAAGTCAATTTCCCTGAAAGGATGTCAGCAATAAAGTTGTGTTTCAATCAATATGTTGCAATCGGTTGTTACCTAAGAGAACCATATGTGCCCAGCGATAGAAAACTGTAATCCGGATCGTAAAAGAAGTAAACAGAGCTTACACACGCGGGCAGAATATCAATCACACCCACGGCAATCAACTTATCGTCCAGCCAATATTGCTGATGAAAGGATCCATAGCCCATTTCGGGTCCATCGCTAGGTTTTTCATTCTGTAATAAAAGAGATCAATTCGAGATAAAGTAAAAACTGATAATCTTATATGTGCAGATCAAAAAACACTAGAAGTAGGGAAACCTTCATGGGCGTCAACTGCAGGTGATTCTTGTAGGCGTTCTCATTTTTGGGCGGATCGTTGTGAATCGAGATCTGATATTTTTTGTAGAGCGCAAAGCTTGCAGTCAAGGTCCGGTTAAATTCCTCGTCGTAGACGTGCACCAATCGTAGCTGCGAATAAATTTTTTGGTAAGGTAAATTGGCATTTATAATTACCTTAAGGGGTGATTTGACCAAGAACCGCTGCATACTAGCTAGGGTGAGGCGTGCGGGGTTATCGTTGTGAATGGTTACTTGATATTTGCGATACAAAGCGATCACTGCATCGGCACAAGTACGCTGTGTGTCTGAGGAAGCGACCAAAACGATCTGCAAGAACACAAACAGCACAAGACAGTGTGTCTACATGTAGAGGGAGACTCGTACTTGGGGGTTTGACACAGAAAACACAAAGGGACGGTACACAGAATAAACGTATAATAACAAAGGGACACGCTAGCCAGCTGAGCTTTGCAATCGGTCTTACCAAAACATGAATTGTATATCTACGTCTATCCGCACTTACCTTCAACTGGTGTTTGTTAGTCTCGCTGTCGGACGACAAGAAGTCGCGTAGGCTCTTTTCCTGGGAAAGCGATTTCGTTGAGGTAGAGGTCGAGGCAGAGTCTCCCAGTTTGGCTTGCCTGCGCTCCAATCGCATTTGCTTGGCCTTCTTGCGCGGCGCATTTGAGATCGGTGCTGCAGCTATTGAAAATTAATCAAACATTTAATAACAAGAAATCTATAAATTTGTATTACCCTTGCAGATAATAGAAGTAGTTGTTATTATTAGAAAGCCTAAAAATACCTAAATAGGGATCGTAGAGTATCCCGATATTCGCTAAATTAAAATTGTCATTATGAAACATTTTTAGGCTCCCATATAAATATCGGGAGTGACACAGCTATCTCTTAAAATAAAATTCATTTGAAATTTACATATAATTAATTACTGTATCACCCTCATTATTTGCTTATTTGTATATTTCAACCCCTTCCCTAGATCTCGGGAAGAGATAAGCTCGATTTGGTTAAATTTTTCGTTTTTAAGATTGCGGCAAAAAACGGAATCTTACACTCGGGTCAGAGAACGGAAGTTGTTTTTCTGGCCAACCTATGAATTGCCGATTTGAGCAAAATCTAAGGCAATATTTTCTTTCGTTGTCCAATAATGAAGCTAAAAAATTATTCTTTTTTTTTTCAGGTTGTTTTCTGTAATTAGTTTAAAATTATTTTCTACTTTGATTTAAATTAGATTGCTAAATATGTACGCACAAAATTTTATCAAATATTATCATTCTGATGAAATAACAAGACAAAATAATATTTAAAAAAATGTTAAGTTGAAAACAAATCATTCCGATATATTACTTCACTGTTAAGTTTTTTTTTTGGTCTAAAATACTCTACAAGGTCGTAAATGTCTTGCTCAGTGAGTTTTCAGTGGTGTTTGTAATCAACATTTCACATCTTCAATCTCAAGGGAATACGAATAAGAGCGACTTGCTGTATATACCCACATTTATTGGAGCCCAGCGTTGGGGCCTCAGCCGTTGGAGCAGGAGCCTGCTTGGTGGGCTTTTTCTGAGCCCGTGCCAGTGATGCAACCTGGTCCACATTGATAACCGCCGGACTCTTATCGGGCAGCTGGGGCTGCGGTTCGCTGGCGGTAGCCTCGCCAGACCCTGTGACTTCATCGCCATCTGGATCCCCCTCACCGTCGCCGCCTTCCGGTTTGGAGTCCCGCTTGCCATCGCGCAAAAAACGATTCATGCGGCGCAGAATGCGCTTGTTCGATTTGGACAGCTTGAACTGCAGCCCGTCGCACTTGATGGTGTAGCAGGGACAGCAGGTCTCATGGTTGCGGAACTTGTAGCAGTAGTTGCCGCAGCGTCGCCAGCCGCGATCGATGAGGTCCTGGTAGTCCTGGCTGTCCAGCCGATAGGCGTGCATACCTGTCACACGTGACGAATGAGCGATTAATTATGCGAACCACCAATGCACCTGTATTTTCATATTCTTACCGTGCGACAGGCTGCAGTTTTTGCCGGCGCAGTAGCCGCATTTGGACTCCTGTCTCCCGTAGTACTGCACAATGCTGACACTCATTATTCCGATCTTCCGACGCCGATCAGAGTGCAATCATAGTGGATTTAGTTGCGATGAATTAATTAAGAACCGAGCCGCCGCTATTGCGAAATTTTTTATATGTTCAGTGTGACCAGTGATCGCGGGTTGGAAGATACCATGGTATCGGACTATGCCAAAAAATTTTAGGGATACCTAAATCGAGTTACTGCCTGTTTCCACTACACTATAAGTGCATTTCAAATGATAAAGACTCAGTTAAGAAAATGGGTTATGTTAAGCATCCTGTTAAGATATTTAAGAAATATTTCAGAATAGTTTTTTTCACTGGAATAAAATTATAGTAAAATATTAAATAGTCAGAACAATCCAAGATAATTTGCTTTACTCGGGGAATCCCCCTATTTTAGCTTAAAAAGCAACGACATTTCCCGCACACAGGCACACTGGCCAGCATTCGGTTAGTTAGGTCGAATAGTTATGTTTAGAAGCCGCAATAGTTGGGCCAATTAGAAATGTATTAAACTAAAAGTCTGGAGCCCTTATTCTGTAAGTACTCTTGCTTAAAAATACCATAATAAAGGAGAATGACACACTCAACACTACGAACTTCGCTCTAAATAGTTTAGTGCGTAGTTGTCAAGTGAAAGTTTTTTTGATGGCTTTTCTTCGGTTTTTAGAGTAATTAATTTTCTGGGAAACTCGAATCTATTGTCTTGTTATACCAAAAACTCTATGATTAACTGTGCTGTTTATTAAGTTTGGTTTTAACCAGTATTTAAACTGGTTTAAGCTCTACCTTTAAGACGACCTTCATGGTCGTTAGAGTGACTAACTCTAATCCGGAAAAGTAATGCAACTGTTGGAAAAGTTTATCACCTGTCATTGTAGTTGTGGTCTTTGTCTGCAATAGTGGCTAATAAATGGATTACTTACTCTATTTCCTTGGCAGTGCACAATGATTGACGCGGCTTGCGCGGAACGGGGAAGCCCCAAGTTTATTGCCCTCTTTAACGACAATCTGAAACTGGGCCACGGGGACGAGGACAACCCACAGCCATTGAATGGAAAAGACGCTTACGCACCCGCACCCGCCGACCTGCAGACGGCCTATGGAACCTTATTCGCCGCCTGCCAGGATCACGCCGCCTTCTTCGCCAAGGATCACACCGAATTTGGCCAGCGCCTGCACGCCGCCCACATTGCCTGGCAGGATTTCATCGTCCTGGCCAACCGGCTGGTCATCCAGATCGAAGCCTTTGCCCACGAGTACGACTTCGACGAGCAGACGCCGGGCAATGGCTACCGCAGCTTCATCTATGTGACCAACGCATGCATCACGCATGGCATCAACATCTGCCACCAGCTGATGGCCACCCGCTCCGCCTTGTTCTTCCGCAAGAAGTTCTACATGAAGGAGGTGGAGGCGTGCTCGCAGCTTCTATCCTCGCTGTGCACCTGCCTGCAGTACCTGCTGATCCTGCGCCAGTGGTCGGCCAACACGGGGGATCTGTTCGCCTGCGGAAACCACACGGCCGAGCAGCTCTTTGAGCTCGGCGACACCATTAACCAGTATTGCTTTTACGGCCGCTGCCTGGGCTTCCAGTACGGCGACTCCATACGCGGCGTACTCCGCTTTCTGGGCATCAGCATGGCCAGCTACTCGGAGTCCTACTACTCCCAGGAGGGCGATGGAGCCATCGTTAAGACCACCCGCAGTCTGTGGACCAGTGGAAAGTACCTAATGAATCCAGAACTACGCGCCCGCCGAATCGTTAACATCTCGCAGAATGCCAAGATCGACTTTTGCAAATCCTTCTGGTTTCTGGCCGAGTCCGAGCTGATGCACAAGCTGCCCAGCATTGTGGGAAGTTCCATAAAGGTGAACCGGCTGATAGAGCTGCCAGCCGAACCGTTGAAGCTTCCGCGTCGAAAGGACTTCAAGTCGTCGCCAAATCCCAGCAGTGATGTCAATCAGAACCAAGGCGATGATGACTTTGTGGAGATTCCTGTGCCCTCGGCTCATTTGGGACCTGGTCTGCCTGTTTCTGTTCGCCTGCTGAGCGCCAAGAGAAGATCGGGAATGCTCGGCGAGGGTCGCTATCGCGGCTGGCACAAGCCCACACCGCCGAGTCCTTCGATTCTGTTCCACTGCCATGGCGGTGGCTTTGTGGCCCAGTCTTCGAAGTCCCACGAACTGTATTTGCGCGACTGGGCCGTGGCCCTGGACTGTCCCATTCTATCGGTGGATTACAGTTTGGCGCCTGAGGCTCCATTTCCACGCGCTTTGCAGGAGGTGTACTACGCTTACTGCTGGCTTCTGAACAATACCGAACTGCTGGGCACGACGGGTGAGCGGATTGTGTGCGCTGGAGATTCGGCTGGCGCGAATCTGTCCATTGGAGTGGCCCTCAAGTGCATCGAGCAGGGAGTTCGAGTGCCGGACGGACTGTTTCTGGCCTATTGCCCAACCCTCGTTAGCTTTGTACCCAGTCCTGCCCGCCTGCTCTGCCTGATGGATCCCCTGCTGCCCTTTGGCTTCATGATGCGATGCCTTCGTGCCTATGCAGCACCAGCCCAAGAGACGCTACAGGAGAATGCCAGGCATGTGGAGGATGCCGCCCAGATACGCAATGCCCCGAAGTCGAACATGGGGAGCTTGAACTCCAGTCGCCGCACCTCCATAGCCAGAAGTCCCCTGACGCCGCTGGAGGCCAATACCGAGCACGATGACGAGAGTAGCGATACCTTCGCTAGTGCCTCGGCCTCTTACCACAGCCAGACTGTGGAGCGAACCGATCTACCCAACAGCGAGGGCGACAACAGTTCGTGTGTGTCCTTCGAAGACGACTCGCAGCCCATTGTCCACTATCCAGTAGAAATATCCGCCGACCCACCTAAGGACCCCACCTCTGCCGCCTACATTGACAACTTCCTAGACAAGTATCTAATTGACACCGCCACCATGGAGGTAACCGAAGAAACTGCAGCCGAGGCAGCCCAAGTTCAGGCGAATGGACATGCTAAGATCAGTTCGGATGACGATATTCTGGTTGAGACAGGTCGTGATCTCGTCGCGATGGATACACTGCAGGGACGACTCCAGGAAGCCGTGAACAACATAACCAACACCTTGACTCGCTGCACGCAATCCTACGAGATTCATGGAAGCAACGGGTGTCAGCAGGACGTGCGCAACATGGACGCGCTTTTAGCAAGGAGCCCCAGCGAGGAGTTTGCATTCGATGTGCCTAAGGATCCATTTTTATCGCCCTACTGGGCCAGTGATGAATGGCTATCCCAGCTGCCGGAGACCAAAATACTTGTAAGTTTATGAAGTAGGTGAAATAACTATGATTAAACCGGCTTTTGTTTCCCACTTAAGACTCTGAATATGGATCCCTGTCTGGATGACTGCGTTATGTTCGCCAAAAAACTGAAAGGCCTTGGTCGCCAAGTAAACTTGGAAATATTGGAGGGGCTTCCGCACGGATTTCTTAATTTCACCATGGTAGGAAATCCCTTGGCTAAATTAATAATAATCACTAATCTCGCCTTTCTTTTAAGCTATCCAACGAAGCCATGGAAGGATCCAAGCTCTGCATAAAATCTCTACAGACGTTGCTTCAGACAGATCCGAAGCACAAAAATAATGACAAAGGCAGCTCGCTGGACGACGAGGAGTCTTCCAGTCCCAGTGCAAGTTTGGCTGCTTCATAGGACGAATTTCAATCGGTCTATATGCCTATAGGACTGGAGAATCCAATACCCGACGAGGAACAATAAAACGACGATGGTACATTGTAAGTGACAATGGGGTTTCAAAATCACTGTAAAATATTGTCACCTGTATTGGATTTCTCCTTTCGCATAGGCGTGTAAATCGAATTTTGTTATGCGCAGGAACGAATTGTTCATTGTTATACGCACTCTTCTTGCTTTTTTATTACTTTGTAATCTCAAACATTTTTTATACACTTTTATATGACACAGCTTTCCATGTTTTATATACTCACAAAATATGTATAGGATATATATAGCTTTTAGCATAAGCAAGCCAAGTATGCAAGTATTGGAAGCGTGTAAACACGCACTATTTATTAATGCTCTTGATTCCAGGCACACACTCGCTAAGCGCTGTTTAATGCAAAACTCCCGAATATGTGCCTGATACGAAACGAGTACTTACTTATATACATGTGTATGAATTATTCGCCCATTACCCTTATTTTCACACTCCCCGATAGTGTGTCCAGATTTTTTGGCACTATGGAGGCTAGCGGAGTTAAACTTAAACTATGTTGGAGATATGCCTAGTTTTCTTTGCCTATCCCACGCGAACCCGTCTGAATGTATATCTACGGTACACCAGGTGTTTGATATACTATTACAATTTATATATGTTTGCAATCTCTTCCCTTAAACTATACCCAGTGTTATACATAAAATTCGAATAAATGGTTATTACCCTTAAAACGATTTGTAACTTGTATGCGGAAATTATAACCAAAGGAAGAGTAAGCTAGTTAACATTACAAAATACAGCTTTTATTGAAAAAATGCGGATTTGGCTTAAAAGTTAGGAATGAATTGTACGCGTGAGGATGAGAGGTTACGATAGGCATATAAATATAAGGGGGCGGTTTATGTCTCATTGTCCTCAATCTTGGGTGCCAGGTAGTAGCGAATGTGGCCTAGATCCTTGATCGCATACTCGACCACCAGCGGCACATCTGCGCACATCGACAGCTGCACCTGGGTGGACAGGGGCGTAGCCTTTGTGAAGGCGTTCAGGTAGCGACAGGCGAACGTCAGCGTCACAGGCTCCTGCATCTCAATGATGACCGCCTCTTCCTCCTTGTCAACGGAACCGGTTTGAGCCAGTTTGATATTGGCAGTGCCCACATCTCCGCTGGCCGAGAACTTGACGCCCTCCTTAGTGCAGCAGATTACGACAGATTCGCTGAATTGCGCCAGATCGCGGCAAATGCGCGCGAACTCCATGGCCGGCATGCGCACCACGCACGAGAAGTCCGTCTCCGGGATGCCCAGGTGCTCCTGGTCGAGATTCATCAGCTTCATCTCGTAGTCGGATACCTTCTCCTGGTTGGCCGACTCGAACATGATGGTGACTGTGTCGGCGTTGTCCTGCGCCTTCATCGTCACGTTGTCCTCGTTGTTGGCGCACTTCAGAATCTTGGCCATGCTGCCCAGGTTCATTCCCATGGAGAGGTTGCGGTCGCAGCGGAACTTATCGAATCCGTCGGATCGCAGGGTCAGCGAGACGAGGGACACATGGGAGTTGTCCATGGCCTGCAGCTGTGAGGTCACCAAAGATATTAGATTGCACTAAAGTTTAAGGCTTGTGTATGATTGTACCTGAATGCCGGAGTCGCTGCAATCGAAGGTGGCCTCATTGAGCAGATCCTTGATGGCGTCCAGGATCTTCTTCAGAATGGTGGCTTGTCCCAGGCGTGCCTCGAACATGTTGAATTTGTTGTTTTATTCTTAGGGGCGTGATGCGAATTTGGGAAAAAATAACTGGGCACTATTTAACTTAAGTGGGTTGCCTTAAGAAAGTACTTATAATTATTATGTTGCCACTGCCGTGTCTTTAAAATGAATGACGAACGTGGGCAAATTTTTGCTTAGAATCGGATCAGGCGGGCGAAATGAGCGGGATAGGGATGTGAAAAGCCACAGGCGATATCGATCGCACGCGTCGCAACTATCGATAACAACCGGGCCCCGCGCTGCCAACCTAATAGAACAACAAAACAAAGATGGCCACACTATTGACAAACATATATATTTTAAATAGCTAAATTACAAAATGTTTAAGAATTTAATACACAATTTATCAGCGAAGACGATGACTTATAAAAGTAGGAGGTGAGGACACATTTTTCTTGTTTAAGCGATCTGCCTGTTTCATCATTCCACGCAGTTCTTCCACTCCGAGACCTAAAATATAAGTGCGTTTTATATTTAATTTAATTAGATAATTTTATGTACTTGCCATGCACAGTTTGAGTTTCTTGGGCACCATTCGGATCCAACTGAATTAAATATGCCTCCAGGGCAGTATGTTTTTGCATTATAGCCACGCAGAGAGCCGGAATCATAGAGGACAGATTGAAATCCTCATAGGATCTCCGGCGTAGTAGCTCCTTAACCAGGTGCAAGTGACCAGAATAACTCGCTAGTGTAAGAGCGTTTTGTCCAAAGTAGTTCATGGCGTAAATATTTCCACCAAACTCCAGAAGTGTGTGGGCGCACTCAAATCGCCCCAAATAGCAGGCCTTCAACAAAGCGGTGTTCCCATAGCTGTCCAGTTCCTCCAGGCTGTTCGGTTTGCCATCGCGAGCCATTGTGCAGACGATTCGCAGGGAAACTACGTCATCCTGTCCTACACAGCTGAGGGCTTCAAAATTAAAAGTTAATTTCGGTGTCTCTTAACCTTTTTTAATTACCATTTATTTCTCCCATTCTGCATTGACTTCATATAACGGCGCTTTGCGGGAACCAGGGATGCAATACTATCGGTATAAGCAAACCGAACTTTGTTAACAAGGGTATTCCATCAAGTAATGCAACATATTTGAATTTTCAAAACCTAAAAGACGGTTACAATTTTTGATTGAAGTTTTTTTTAAAAAAGGTAGGGTCGAAAAAGAGTTATTTTTCAACACAGCATTAAATGATGTGTTAGCTGACCAAAGCTTACGCACTAACTTTTCAATCCGTTTTCACGCTCTGATCTAAAGCGCATAAAAAGTCTTTAGTTATTCCATTTAAGTGATACGCCATATATTGTGTTGTTTTAGGTAACTATATTTAATATATTCAACTGCAATCAAGTATGTCTGCACATAGCTCGAGCTTTTTGGAACAAGATATTTAATACACTTACAAACGCATACAAATATCAATTGACAAGTACGAATGTAATACATTTAGGCGGGTCACAGACCACAAGTTGTGGGTTAGTAGATATTAGTTTAGATTATTGTCATTGTTTTATAAAGGATTATTTGAGACTAACTAAGCACTACAAGTACCAATGCCGCTCGTGCAGATGATCCTGATCGAAGGACCAAAGCTTACACGTGGGATGACAACTACAAATTATATAGGACTAACCGACCAGTGCGAAACTGGGGATATTTCGTGTCTTAACTTTAATCTAATACGTCATGTATAAACTAAAAGGTTGTGCGAATAATTTAGTCGGAGAGATTCAGCGGGTAACGGATCTCAGGATGCTTATAGTCCCGGCTTGGTTTTGTCATCGATGCTGCTGGCGCTCCCGGCGCTCGCCGTGCTGCCCGCATCCGATGGCACCGGACTGGATCGCCCCGATCCCGCCCTGGATCCCGACTCCACTGGCGTGGGAATGGGACTGGTGGCCGGGCTGGTTTCCAGGTCGCTCGTGCTGCAGATTTCCTGAAAACAGAGATTGGAATTCAGCTTGGACTTGTCGTTATTCTTGCTCGGCTTCTCATCCAGCAACTTCGTCGTCTTCGGACTTGAGCTTGAACTTAAACTTAAGCTTGAAGTTGAACCTGAACTGACCTCATCCGCTTGTGTCTTGCTGGTCACCGCCTCGGTCTTGCACTCCTCGCTGGACAGATCCACTTTCTCCGCCCAGGAGCGCAGGAACTCCACCACGTGGCTGTGCCCAAAGTTCTCGGCCTCGTCCACGGGCAGGTTGCCCCAACGATCCTTGGGGTTGTGTGGGACATGGCACTGTTCCAGCAGGAACTTCACGCACTCCAAGTGGCCCTCGGAGGCAGCCAGATGCAGGGCAGTACGTCCATCGTAGTCCGCCAGGGTGATGTCCATGCCAGAGAGACGATGACGACGCAGGGCCGTAACATCTCCGCTGGCTGCTGAAAAGAGCAGATTCACAATCGAAAGTCCCTTGGTCTCGTAGCGGTGCTTCCGGGGATCCTTCTTGTTGGACAGATGCTTCAGGTTGTCGTAGCGATGGAAATTGAACATGGAGACCAGCTCCTCGCAGAATTGCAGGCCCCTCACCGTGTTGCCCAGGTGGTCCAGGGGCGGCGACCAGGCGAAGATGCCCATCACATTGGGAATGACCAGCATCATGCCACCACTCACACCGGATTTGGCTGGCAGTCCCACCTTGAAGGCGAACTGACCGGAATAATCGTACGTGCCGCAGGAGTGCATGATGGAGAGCACATCCCGGATTACCTCCGGCCGGAACACCTTCTCCTCGGTGGTGGGACAGATTCCTCCATTGGCCAAACTGGCGGCAATCACGGACATTGCCTCGCAGTTGGTCTCCATGGAGCAGCACTGGAAGTAGAAGTCCATCACCTCCTTCAGATTGGTGCGCTTGGGGAAGCACTTGTTCTCCCGCATATAGAATCCCAGGGCGTAGTTCCGATCGGCAGCCTCTCGTTCGGACAGGAATACGGCATTGTTGAAGCCGATGTACTCCCCACCGGACAGCCGCTTGAACCAGGACATGGTGTAGTCGAAGATCTCGGCGGAGGTCATGTCAGGCTTGACCAGAGCGTTCATCAGGGAGCAGGTGAGAATGGCACCTGCATTGATCATCGGGTTGTGCGGTTTCTCTGTGGAGGAAAAACAGAATTATTAGAAGATTTTCTAAGAATTTAATAAAATATTTCGATTAGTATAAAATAAAATCTTAATATATAGAGTCAAATTTCAAGTAAAATAATATTTCCATTCATATTTTTAAGGATAGACAGTGAAATTACAAAGTTAGAAGTCATATCCATAAAAAAAGCGTATAAAAAAGAAATAAATAACTTTGCTTTTAAATGATCAAATGATCCCAAATGGAAATTCATAACTTAACTTTTCAATACTTTTTTAAAATTTGAAATATTATTAAGAATTATTTAAATAATGGTACGATCATATGAATTAGATTTGATTTGCAGGCATTGAAAAATGTAGTTGGGTTTGAGTTAAGAATTTTGTTCAGTTCCCCCACTTACTGTTTTGATCCAGGACGAGTTCATTAAAGTTCCTGCCACTGGGCTCCTGGCCCACATACGAGTGCACCACCTTGGGGCCCAACTTCTCCAGAGCAATGGCGTAGGTGAGTGGCTTGCTGCAACTCTGGAGGGTGAACGGAACCTCCACATCGCCAATGGAAAAGCGCTGGCCATCAATGGTGCAGATGCTCAGACCCCAGGAATCGGGGTTATATCTGGCCAGTTGCGGAATATAGTCGGCCAACTTGCCCAAAGTGTTGGTCTTGCAGCGGCAGTAAATGTCTTCGATGTCCTTGACGAAACTGGTAAAGTCGGGGATCACAAACTGCTGCCGAAAAGCTTTGGCAATCAGCACAATATTGGGGGCCACCACTCTGAAAGTACCAAAGTTATTATAATACAGCTTGGGTGGGAATTCCCAAAGTCTAAACTCACGCCTTGAAGGTCTCCCGATTGAGATGCTGCGTCTCCGCCGAAGAGCCCGTCTCGTAGTTGTTCAATTTATGAACTTTCTTCAAATTGTCCATTAGCTCTCGTACTCTTGGATCGTTCCTGCGAATGCCAGTGGTCTTTAGCCCGGCCAGGAACTTGCCCATCGAGATGAGACCCGTCTCCTCGCTGGCGAACATATCGAATAGCACATCCTCCGCATTGCGCTGCTCCTGCTCCCGATGGCTGTGAATAGAAAGATGACCAGTTAATATAAAGGGAATTAGCGAAATAGTTTCGTAGCCACAGAAAAGCAATTGGGTTTAGGGCACCTGCTAATTAAGCGGCGATCCCCGACTGAATTTTAGCATGCGTGTGTGGAAAAGCAAGACCAAAAATTCACAGAAAACATGGCACTAGTACTACGGGGGTGTGAAAGTGGTAAGGGGGAACTTTAGGGGGGTTTGTCTTTGGCCAACTGGCGCTGAACTCCAAGTGCTAATTGGCTCACAGACATCTAATGCAGCGCGGCCATTAAAACTGCAAAGATCCAGTTGTTTTGCTTTTCTAAATATAGATCTTCCTCCAAGGCTGGCTGATTTGATTAATTCGGATTTTATTTTTTTTTGCGAACTATCAATTTGGGAAATCATTTCGCGCAGACTTCAATCAACTTCAATTTAGTTGAGTTGGGCTTGATTAAGACGTTTGGTTTATGGTACATGGCATGGCAACTGATTCAAATTCTACGGGGTACAAGAACAGTTCAATCGATTACTCACGGCCGCATCGAATAGTGGCGTCGCTGATTGCTAAAAAAGGGTGATAGACAGGATGATCATACGGCAATTGTTAGTTACGATTTCCATATGTTGGCCATAAACAACGTGTAATGAGCGTCAATCAACGCAATTTTCGATTTATAGAAGGGGTGTGTCATATAGATAAAAGGGGTGAGTGGGGTGTAGTGTTTTTGTGCACAATCTATTTTTACGATGCACTCGATTTGGTATACTACATATTGTCCCCGCCCTTGACTGTCTGTTCTGGTTGCTTTTTCCGGCACTATTTTTACCTGATTATCGCGGATATAGTACGCACTATAGTGCCGCGACGATTCTGCAGCGAGATGCCCTCGATGATCTCCTCGATGATGGCCGCCGTCTCCGTGGTCTCCTGCTCCTTGCCCCGCCTGTAGTTCTCCTCCCGCTCCTTCGTCTCACCATCTTCGCTCTGGCGCTTCAGCGCGTCCATTTCACTTGTTTGCACCATCACGGCGTATACGTGATATTCGCTTGGTTTTCAATTTGTGTATGTGAATTTGACTGGATGGATTTCGAGCTCGATTCGCCTTGACTTGAGCGCTGAGCTGTTGCAAGTTTAATGGGAACAACAGTAAGCGCGCCAGCGTTTTATACATTAGCGGAAAGTGTGACTTTTGCTGCTGCTCCCAGCGAACGGAGCACTTAGATAGATAGATACGGATAGACGACTGGAGATTGGCGATTGGAGAGCGGTGAGCGGTGAGCAGGGCACCACGGAGAGCCGCGCCGCAATGTGCTAATTTCTAAATCATGTTATTGCCAATAAAATAAATTAATTAACTCCTTTTTCTCTATACAATCCCCGGCTGGTACACAAAAACGCACACGAGCATATACAACTGTAGATATGGCTGGATTTTATGGCATTATAATGGCACTGTTCATTGTCTGGCACTCTAAATGGCACACTACTTCCACAAAACCGATAAGGATAAGGAGACAAAAACGTCACGCGACGGAACCCCTTTTCTTTTTGTCTGATAAAGAGGTGGGCACGTCTCCGGATGATTCACAATTACCTGATATACTTCGTTATCACCTTGATGAACGTCTCCTTCTGGCTCTTGGTGCAAAGTCCGGCCACCATTTCGGCTATAATGCCGGCATCTATCAGATCGGCATCGTCCTGAACGCGTTCCTTGCCTTCTTCAGTACCGGATAGGGGTTCCTTAACTGCAACTTCGGCCTTTTCCTCCTCCACCTTGGCCGCATTCTGCTTGACCAGTTCGATAAGTTCCTCTCCCGTCATGGACTTCAGATCGTCTACTATCTTCTGCCTGATGCTATCCTTGAACTGGGCCGCCTCCTCGGCAGTATATCCGTCCAATGGAATGGGTGCCCTTTCGGTGGCATATTGCAGCAGATTCCAACTACGATCGCCCATCATTTCGATACGATTAGTATTATTTGTCCTCCTTTTTCACTGTGCAAACTTGCGGCCCGTCACCGCCGAAATGAGCCCAGTCGACGATCGGCCAATGGTTTTATAGTTCGCCAACATCATACATCAAAGCCATACAGACATATTTACATATAATTCAGCAGACCCAAAAAGAGTGAGCGAATTCGATTTTTATCTTCGTTTAATAAACGTATGTTAATTTATTTTTATGCGCTCGCGATTGCCGGCAATTAGCGCGTGCTTCATGGCAGATACCTCCCTTTTGGAGCATCCAACCCCAGCCCCATCCTTTCAATACATTTAAAACAAAAGTTCCCTTTTGAACACAAAATATTTACCGCGAAAGCGCCATCAAAATATTTTCGCAATTTCTTTGGACTTTGGCAGAGATTGTTAATTGTGTATGTCAACGGTTTCGGCTGTTGTTTTCAAAACAATATTTTTCGAGCTATTAATAATATTGTAAACTGCATTGAGTCTAAAAATGGATCATTGGGATATGAAATGCAGCCTGGCAGCAGCGCAATTGTTGACCCAAATTATTCTAGCCACGTGGGAAATAGTGAGGAAAAAGCAACCATAGACGAGGTAGATGTAAATTATTAAACAAATATTTTGTAATTCGAACAATTAGTTACTGAATGCAAGTGCTCTGGTTTGAATTGATGTGAGGTGTAAGTTGATACTGGAGATGTGAAAGGTTAAAGTTTATCTTTTGTTTATCTACTTACAGTTTGGCATTATCCTCTTTGGTCTTTGGAGTGGAACTGGTGTCGTAGAAGGACAACTTTCGATTGGCAAATACCAAGTTCAATAGCGGTGGAGCGCGCAGTTTCTTCTGAAATGGACAAAGAATTGGTTGTATATTACAGCTGTAGTTGAGGTCAGGAATGCCCAGCTAAAGTCACGTATTCCCAGTTATGTTAAGAGCCAACTGAGCGGCACGTACTAGCATATTTTAGTGGTATATCCAATGTATACCGCAACTGGATCGAAGTGGAAATAATGGACAGACACCATTAACAAGCACCTTTTATAGTAAAAAGGGCGTTGATCTATCCAATGTTTTATGGAATCCCCAAAACTCTGCAACATTTTTAAAGCTTACAAGAATGATGGTAATTATCATACTGCTTAGTTTATTCTTTTAATATTTCCCTAATATCTGCAAAATACTTGCGTATTAATTTTGAAAATATTTGCATGCCATCTACTTGTTATTCCTAGCCTACTAACGTTTTCTTTATAATTATAATTTTGTTGATGGAAAATCTGTAATCATTCATTAATGTAACCGAATACTTTCTGTCCTGCCTTGGGTCATAAGTTTTATTGGATTGGATTACCTAACCGCATGACATCAGCGGAACAGAAGTCACTGTATTTTTCCTAATTTCCTTTTTCTTTGCAAGTGCTGAAATTACAAATAGTTGACTTTGTACAAAAAAAATTCCACAAATAAAGCTATTCTTTTGATTACAGCTAACTGATACGATTATTTGCACGTGCCCTTATCCCTATTATAAATCAGACTCCCATTCTCAGAAATTTTAAGTCTTTGCCTTCAAAATCTGTTTTCATTGTTAAGCTGTTTTCGCACTTGCTGCTCATTTGCATATTATTAAATACATATTTAAGCAAAAGAAAGTCATGTGAGGGCGAACATTTTGCACAACAACAACAACAAGATCAGGTGCGGCAAAAAATAAAAAGAATAAAATATTTGCCAAACAAGTTTCCGCTCAAGGGGCCTGTCACCATTAGCGTGGGACTTTGGCACCTTTAAAATTCGATATGTTGACGCACAATTTGCACGGAAGTGCAGAGATAATAATTATCAAAGAGAAACTTAGTCGGAAAAATGAAAGAACTATCACTATCACGTGTACATTCTCCTATAAAAGCTATTTTTATGTAATATTCTAAACTTAAGGTTCGATTATGTCTAGGCATTACGAAATAATTTTATAATAGGCAATTATTTGTAAAAATAAACGCTTTTTAGTTAAAAGCAGTAGCCCTTTAATTGCCAAAATAATTGGGGACTTCAGAAAAATATAATCGTAAATCAACGAGTTTTTCTGAATATACTTAATTATATGTAGACGCGTTTGATTGTTCCTAGAGATAATAATCTTTATAAATATAAACATTTAAGATTAAATTGTATATTCGGAAATTTTTTTTCGTTTTGTGAAGTTGAATAAGTGATAAACAAACTTTATCGACTTTAAAAAATACATTTATATCCCAAGAATTTTTTCAGAGAAAAGATTGATTATTTTGAGTAAAGCTTATCTACATTTCTTAATTTATTATTAAATATTCATTATAAAAAAAATGTGCCAAATTCTTGAATAGAGCAAGTGAGTATCCAAAATTGTTGTTTAAAATTTGAGAGAACTATTTCTCTTTCTTTATTTCTCTTTTCTAGTAACCATGTGAGAAGTGAAGGGGCTTGGTTTTTGTGTTGTGGCAGCTAAAATATTAATACGTAAGCGTATGCTAAACATTTATAAATGTGTGTTCTTTCATTTCTCCCATGGCAACGAAAAACCCGCAAAACAATTTCGACTAGTGATGGACTTCTGCCAAATTTAAATAATCCGCAACCGTATTTGTTCACGTATAAAATACCATCTTTGGGTTTATATACATATACCTACATAATATATAATTATGAATAAATATGTGTTTTTTGTGTTGCCATGCTCACGTTTACACTATTTATTTTCGGGTGACAGTTTCGCGTGACTTAAACACTCCAAGAGTCTGTGAATCATATACACTTTAAAAAATATTTCTTAAGTAAGGCTTTTAAAATTATTATATGAACACACATTTTTTCACAAATTTTGTTCCAATAGATAAGATACAAAATGGGTCTGAATTTTTATATAAGAAAATATGAAGTTTAAAAGATGTTTATGTAAAATTTATATTTTCAATCATATTCTGTGAATACATTTTGGTATTAAGAAGATTTCGTTTCCAAATGATAATAATTATGTCATTTTGCCACTTAGATAAGATGGTAATTCAGAACTTCTAAGAAATCTCATAGTTTTAGTGCACCCTAAGTGCAAAAAAACATTGTCATAAAGTTTAAAAATAACTTGTGCATATATTTTTAGCTTATCAAAATTACATAAATTATATTTTCGAGTTGATAAGATTTTAATCTAATAAGATAAGATTTTAGTTGAAAGAAATGGTAAAATGAACTTCTTATTTATTATATTTTTTCTGTGTGCATACATATTTATTTATGGTCCACGATTGGCGCTGGTATTTGACGAGTGAAAAGATTAATATAAGGCAGATTTGTAGAACCATTTCTATTCCCAATCTCACAATCAGTGTTTCAATGTCTCGGTCAGCGTCTCGCCATCGTCTAGCTTTTTTAAAATTTTTATATACTTGTTGACAACCAGTACTATTTTGGAGTTGCAAATGTCACATGTGGTTTTTGGGGATTAAGAATGAGTGTGTCAGTTGATTTGCAACTGATTAGCACCTATTCCCCAAAAATTTGTCATGATAATTTCACAATTAATTTGGCCGGTAGTCTAGTCGCCGCAATCCCAGATCCGATAAGATATAACATTTTATCTTTTTGAGGGAGAGACAGGACAGTGGGCGTGTTATCTGGAGATTGCGTCAGTCACGCTGCGCTTGGCATTTATCTAATTAAACTAAACCCCGGCGTCTTCATTAAAAAGTAAACCCTTGTCAGGCTGAATGAAAGTCATATGCCCTTACGTGCCCGAAATCACTTCCAGGCCAGAGTCTATATCTTGGTTTTGTTTAAATTTCAAAATCTATTTTTGGATTTCTGCAAACTGTTTGTTATTTCCGCCAGCATTTGCGCATCTGTGGGTATTATGCGTTTACTTTTCTGATATCACATGAAAAATCAATAGCCGGGCAAAATTAAGGCCCGAAAATTGTACATAGTCAGCTGTTTAATCGCTCAACCCCCGTTAGAAACAAAAAAGAAAACCCTTCGCGGAACTCACCTCGGTGGATATTTTCTGCTGCAGCTGTTTGCCCGTGTGTCCGAACTTGGCGCGCTTCAAGAGATCTGTCTCCTGGTCGAATTGCTCCTCCGGCTCTGCAGCGGATGCCTTGGCGCGATGGTGGGCCAACACCTGTCCCTGGGTCGTCAGAAGACGAAGGTTGCGACCGGCTAGCGTGGGAACACCTTTAAGCATTATCACAATCACTGATTTGGCTAATTGGCTGCCCTAATGACGACGATGTCTCTCTGATTCTCGGATTATCGGATGCCTAACAGTAAACCTTAATGCTCGTACTTGATGGCTTGTCTTCTTTCACGTTGCGTATCCGCTCCGTTGTCTGCACATGCGTTCTCTATTACCAATCGCTGGGTACTAAACGGCGGCCGAAAGCAGAAAGTCCATAATCAGCCCAACGCTGCCGCGAAATCGGAGGCAGCGGAAAAAGCAGCGACGTTTACTTCTTCGCTTGGTGAGCGAGCATAAATCTCTCTCTTTCTGGGGGAGAGTTTCGCGGCGTGGGTGAAGTAGACTCTTCCAGCGGTGGTTGACTCTCCTTCAAAAGAGAGTGCGATGACGTTGTTGGGGGCTCGTCTATTCTCGTGACGTCATTTGCACAATTGTAGAAAATAATTTTGTACACTGAGCACAAATACATACTATTTCATTACTTAGTAGAATGACACAATCTCTAATTCCTAAATTTTTTAAAATCGAATTCCTTAAAGAAAATAATTTTATTCGCATTTATTCACTTATATGATTGTATTTTTATGATTTTTAGTTGTGTAAATTATTTTAACACTTTTTAGTTGGCTCAAAGATTTCATTATTGGCTGAAATAATAATAATACAAATTTCTAGATTTAAGAAACATATATTTGATTTCGCCGTCGAAATACTTTTATATTAATGTTTGTATGATACCTATTAGTGTAGATTTATTTGACACCATTATGAACGCTTATTAAAATATTTAACTGTCTTAATAATTCTAAAGTCAACTGATTACGATGTTAAAATAAAGACAATATAATTTTTTTTAATATTTAACCGATAAAAAAATAATACTTATTTATTAAGAACCTGCATATAGTTCGATTTGGCCCATTTCATCTTATGAGTATATTAAATCTGCAACCTATAAAAGAGTTTTGGAACAGTTTCATTTAGATAGGACTTGGCTATATCGCCTCGACTGTCGATGTTAAAATCTCAAATAAAAATTGTAATACCGAAAAAGTAGGCAGAAATTATTTTAAGTGTACAAACTTTATTCAGTAATTCACCAACCTCTTAACAATCAAATGGGTAAACAGCTCAGTCGCAATGGGGCATCACATTAAAGAGGGCCGACATAAGCTGGAGGTAGTCCTCTTCCACCATCTGAACCTGCGACAATTCACAATAACCGTGCTCCGAGGGCGGGGGAAAAAACTGCAGGTCGATGGCGGCCAGTTCGTCCTCCAAGAAGGCATCGCCAGCCTGCTGAGCGGGATATAATCGCTTTCGGCTGTCTTTGTGCTCCAGCGTCGACGACATGGTAGCACCTTGGCTCGCTACAATGGGACTCAGTTCGCTTGACATGTCAAAGTTATGTGGCGGTGGAGTACGTTGCTGTTGCTGCAGGTGTAGTCTGCGAACCACATTAACCCTCAGCTCATTTGTGTTTGTGTTGCTACGACGGACAATATCTAAACTGCGTGATGAACTGGGCGAACTCCTTGCCGGATCAGCAAACTTGACCTTGTAGTGTCCATGCTTACGTCGCAGCCACGGACTCCTGTTTTCCTTGTAATCCAATATCACCTTGCGGCGCACAAACTCATTAAAAATCACCAACTCGTTGCTAATGTCCCGGCGCACAATCTGTTTCCAGCGTGGTTCCAGATCCGGCGACCGGATTATGTAAATAGCCTGCGAGGCCACCAACATGAGCAGGTGCTCCAAAGCCAGCAGACAAAGCTGTCCGTCCATGTTGGAGAGCAGCTCACTGGCTGGGCAACTGACGGAAGAAATCGAGACGCTGGATAAGGATTTGGAGAAGGTGCGGTTCGTCTGATTGCCCACGCAGATGTCTGCATCGTCGTTGTCTCCGGATTGCTCCACATTAGGCAGTGTATTAAGGGGTACCTCACTGAAGCCATAGTTTTGCTGCGGTTAAAAAAATATAATTACAAAATGGTCCGCAGTATGATGGTCATCTACATACCATATTTAAAGCTTTCACGTATATGTTAACCAAGTTGAGAATAATTCCAAATGTGAGCGTAAGATTTTCTTCGTTCAATTTAGGGGCCCCAAACTTTACATCTAGCAATGCTGAGTATTTGGAGGGCTCATATACACTGCAGCAAAGAAGTTCCATCAAATCGGGACTGAATCTCAGCAAGGACTTTACACAGTAAATAATTATATCCGTGAGGCTATAATTATTAAGGGTGAACAAAACAATCAAAAATCTGAAAGTATAAGATTTAAAAGGTAAACTTACTCATTACAGGCGGAGATGAGTTCGTCATCAATTATTATAGCCTCGGTGCTGCGCAGGATTTCCAGTTGCGATCGTCTACCAGCCAGGAGGCACTTTAAATTTCTTTGCTGATGGAACAAAGATGAACTGTGGCACAATAATCCTTGAACTGCACGCTGTTGTAATAAAATTTAAAGAATTACATTTGTAGTCAAGAGATTTATCTTCATTGAACCCACCATTATATTGACAAGCGACAAATCGTTATCCTGCTTCCACTCTTTGTGGTGCTCCGTCAGGCTGGCCACCATTGAAACAGCTGCCTTTATCAACTGCATGGCTGCTGGTTCCAGAGATTGCTTGCTCAGCAGCAAGGCATCCTCAAGATAGACCGCATGAATGCCAACAAACTGGAAAGCCTCTTTCAGGAAACATTTCTTGTGCTTTTCGTAGATGATGGTAACGAACTCGATACCCCTGGCGTAAACAGGCCACCACTGCTCCACAGTCCAGCGCTCTGAATCCGCCGGCGACGGCTTAGTAAACTCATACTTCGACTGCAAAAGTTCCCTCGGTGGCAGTAGATTGAGCCACAAATACTCTCCCACATCGCAGTGCAGGAACTCCACAGAGCAATGGCCCTTGGCGAACACAATTAGCACATCCAGCAGTTGGACACTAAGCACTTGTTTGCTAAACAAAGGCAACGTTTTGGAGACGCAGCGCACGAGCCGTTGGAACAACCGAACCGAAACAAATGGCAGATCCCAGTTCCCGGGACCATCATTATGGAATATGGTGGCCACCGCCTTCAGAAGATTGAGGCACAGGATCAGTGAGTTGGTTGAAGCCTTGCTGTCTGAACTGTCCGAAATATTCAGGCATTGTGATTTTTCCAGGCTCACCGAGTTCTCCATGTGCTGCAGCTCACTGCAGATAATGCCTACGACGGAGTTGAGAAAACGCAGGGCGATTGACGAGTCCCGGATGAGTAAGTCGGTGTAAAGATGTGTGCACTTGGTCACAATGGCCAAGCAGGCCTCTTTGGCCCTTACATGCTGATCTTCATAGCAAGAGCAAATCCGACTCATTAGCTGCAGAAGCAGTTCCATCAGTTCCTGCTCTTCATCCGCGCTGTTTGTGTACGAGTGCTTGAATTGGAGCAGAAGAAACACATACAGTTCAGCCAGGATGATAAACGGACGCATGTCCTCCAGATAGTGAGAGCGATCCACCAAGACTTTAAGACACTTTTGGGCCATCAGTTTGAACTGAGCCTCGGGTATAGTCATAAACTTGGGCTGCTTTTTAAGCAGAATGACGATCAGATCCTTAAAAGCCTGGAGGCAGCAGATCCAGTCGGGCAGCTCGTCCGAGGAAGTTAAATCATTTTGAGCAGGAACCATGGGCATGTTGAATACGTAATTTAGCCAGGGCTTGAAATGCTTCGGCTCAAAGAACTTGTTCATCACATCCAGAAGGGCGGTATTGCTTCCATTCCCCGTGTAAACTTCTATGGATATGATATTTAGGAGTTGTGTGTAGATCCTAACATTCGTCTGAAGCTCGGAAAAGAGCGGTGCGCAGAGCTTCTCCCAAAACAGCTTGTCTTTCAGCAGTTCGTCTACTAGCATCTGAAGATTGTGCTTCCAGAGCGAGTGGAAGATGTTCATGATTTTGCCAGGAAGTGCCTGCTGAATGGTCAAAGGCTCCACTTGAAGGACATCCAGAAACTCTCGCATATAAGTGACGATGCTCTCTCCAATATTAGGAACACATTCCTTGCCGAAGAAGGAGCGGGAGCGTTTGTCTTGGGCGTAGTTTACCTTGAAGAAAGCCTCGGTTACGCCCGGTTGCTTGGCAATGCAAGCATCTACCAGCTCCAGTATAGCTAGCTTGATAGAATCGCTCTCCAACTCATCAGGCAACTTTTGCATAAAGGTCAATCGGATTTGATCTGCCTCCATGTCCAAACAGGCCAAAAGAGACATGTTGAACTCAAGTGCGATTCTCTTCAGAAGGCGACAAGACAGGATCGGAAGCCATCTATCAAATATGTTGCTCATATAGCTGCATACTGTGGGAATGATCCGCAGAGTGTCCCGTTGCTTGGGTTGTGTGTATATTAGCGCTTCCAGGGGAGATAGGGTTTCACTGTTTCCATATACCTTGTCCTTTAGCCGAAGCAGCTGCATAAGGATGCGCATGGAAAGACGTACCAGCATCATCAAGCCGTGCGGCTGCTGTTGCATCCAATTAGTCTCCAACTCCATGGTGTACTGCACGTAGGCATTGCCCACACCCACAAATCTGAACGTATAACAAATGAATGAATAGGGATTTTGGGAATAAATATCAATTCTTACCTTAAAAGGATCAGACCATTATCCAAATTCAGAAGCGAATAGACGCACACCTTCACCAAAAGTTCTCGCTGGTCGCACTTGGATCCACTGCTGGTGTTAAACAAGTCCAGTATGTCGCATATAAAGCTCAGAACCTCGAAGTATATTTTGTTCCTTTCCAACTGAGAGCGGAAGTGCCAGGTGTGCAAGTGCGGAAAAACATCCCTCAGCAGGAATATCAAACCAGGAATCTCCACCTGGATGTGACGATGCCGTTTTAGCTTAGTGTAGGTGCGCAGGAATCCGAGGTAAGAAAGCAGGAATTCGTAGCGCTCGCTCTTCTTCTCCACATTATCAATGACTGAGCCGAGAAAGCGGGACTCAAAGCCCACTTGACTGGCATTGGCATACATCCTGAAATCAGACTGGGATCCCTGGCTTACGGTGGGCAGGATTTGTAGGTTGCTAATTCGAGAAAATATCTCTTCGTCCACCAGTGGCAGCAGGGCAGTGCACACATTAAGACAACTGGACAGGAGTCCAACAGGTGGGCACTGGACGCTCTTGAACTTGTGCAGCAGATCGACACACATCTCGGTGGGATGCACCATCTCGGCACTGATGCCGGAAACCGATTGACTGAGCTGGATAGCGCTCTCCAGAAATCTCAAGCCAGCTTCTACATGACGGATACGGTCGCTGGATTCAAAATCGCCATGCAGGGCGCCCGTTTCTCGTAGGAGACAGTTAATCTCGTGGTGTAGGGCGTCGAAGAAGTTCACTTGTGTGCGAAAGTGCATAAAGCAGCCGGAGGGATGTTGAATGGCGGTACAACTGGTTCCAGCCGGTATGGTATAGTCGATCCGGGGAAAGGGACGCACACTGGCTACGAGCTCAAATTCATCCGTGTCTACCTCTCTGAGTTTGTGCTGATTTTCATCGTAAAGGAGAGCCAATATGGGCAGGGATTCTAACTGACTCTTTACCTAAATGGTTAAAAGAAATATTTAGATTGATATCTTTAATTAAAAGAGGTTTCTAGCTTACATAGTTGCCTTGTCCACCTTTAGTTAGCGATTGTGCCAGCTTGGACAGATGTGTAAATTCCAGCGGGAAGTTTTCCAGAAGAGTTTTATATAGTGACCGCGGACCATCATCTAAATAAATTTATTTGTTCTAAACATTTTACATATTTAAAGATATAAAATAGTACTTACCTTCCCGACTACAAAAATCTTTAGCTAAGTGAGGCCAGGACACCAGTTCGCAGAGCAGTTCGTAAATGCCCTCATACCGGGCGCAGCTGCCATCGCCATCAAATAGGTTGCACATGTATCCCACTTGGTTGTAAATGGTCTTGCGTACAATCCGCGATAGCATCGAATCATCGGCGTACATGGAATGCCTTGCTACTAGGTGTAGTTGGACAAAACATTTTAGATCCACGGCCCGCTTGCCCAACTGCCGGCACCGAAGCAAACTGGAGGCGTCGTCGGCATCGTTGGTGCCACGCAGGCGGAGTAACATCCACACCAGAAGTAGTGGGCCATGCTCCGGTCGATGGTGCATGCTGGCAATGTCCACCTGCAAGTCCTCAATCAGCTTTTCAATCAAATTTGAGTTTTCCTGCGGGTTCTCAAAATCGAGACACTTTAGAATGAGCATTAGCTCCGAGTACGTGAGGCTGCGGATCAGCTCCTGGTGATAGGCTTGGCTGTCGTCCAGGTAATTTTGTATCTTTCCGAAAGAGTGTTGCTTGCAAGCGGCGAATATCCTCTTGATTTGCTCCAATCCCATGGGCAGGTGCTCCGCCAGCAGGAGAAGAATTTGCAGCACTTCGTTGGTCTCGCGGGCGTTTCTCTCCGACCAGGCAATCAATCGCTCCGCGGAATGGAAGCACTCGCCCGCCATCAGTTTCCTAGGTGGGAGTTCGCTGATCAGGGTTTCCAACTGTTCCAAATAGGAATCCCTCAGACGGGATAGGGTTATCTTTTCTACCACGGCGCGATACTCTTGGTGGTAGGGGTGATTCGGTACCCGGTGGAACACAATCAGGTTCTTGACAATCTTCAGCACTATCATGCGCTCCAAGGAGTAGTAGTGCCGGATGTCCTCGTGCAGCTTGGCCATGTTCGTTTCGGTGGAAATGAGTTGGGTAAGGAGGCTGGCCGAGCCGCGGTACTCCTGCGTGAGGTAGTAGCACAGGATCTCCCAGCACTGTGCGGATTCCAAGTCCAGAAGATCTTGCAGTCGCTCGGTGAAGGGCAGCAGCTTCTCCTGCTTCTTTTCCTTGAGCAGCGTGCCCAGCTGAATGTTGGAGGCACTTTTGGGCTTGAACTGGAGCACACCGGCCTGTAGTTCGGTGGCCACGTTCATCAGTTCCTCGCGCACCGTTTCCTGAGGCGTCTCATAGTGGATTCCGGAGACCATCTGCCAGAGGCGCTTCCAGTCGGTGCTGCGGAGAGTAATTCAAGGAGATTACATGCTGGATTCCTTTAGTTTCTGACTCCAGGTACTTACATGACGCATTTCTCCACCGCGGGCATTGTCTTCGCGCTCTCTTAACAACTATAAATTACAATTATTTAATTATTTAATAACAAACACAATTTTGTTCCACGCGCAAGTCCGCGGTTATGGAGTTGCCACCTAATATTATAAATGCCGGGAAAACGAGCTGGCAGCCTTGACAATGTATCGATATAGCGATAACCAAGTTGTTTAAATTTCCGTTAGAATTTGGTGTTACAGTTTAATTTCAAAAATGTATCTTTTAATTTACCGTAATGGGTTAGATAGTGTTCAATACTTCCTAACTTTCAGGTCTTGTAAAGAGCGTACCAAGTAAAAAAACACTCGAACTTGCGACTTTGGAGATACCACTAGTACAAACTCCAGGGCAACCATCTATCGATATAACGATAAGAAAAAGGCCGTTAGAAAATTGTTGACAGTGGGCGCACCCTAATTGAAAACACAAACTTTCGGTGCACTCTTAAAAAAAGATTATTTTTGTAAATGTTTAACTTTAAATCAGAGAAACGATTTATATTTAATAGTTAACAAAATTTACATAAATATTGCTATACATACTTGGTTGTTTGATAGAAAATCCTCTTTTACGTATGTTAAGTAGGCAACATTAAGTAGCCGAAATCTCATTTTCTGGACACTTGTTATAACTAAGAAAAAGGTAACTTTTGATATGCTATTATTCTTAATAAATATTAGCTATAAGTCATTAAATCGAAATTAAAAACAATGTCTTATTAAAACGAATCCGAAATCGGTATTTCCAAAAGTTACAACCGTGACGTATTTTGGTTTATTAAAGCAAAAACAAAACTAAATAAAATCATTATTATTTTTTAAGTCAATAAATTAATTTACAGTTTTTAAAAATACGCCATTACATGAGTTGAATTCATTTATCCGGCTTTAGAGAAAGAGAAAAACACGACTTAATCGAGTTCTACCATGGTGTGCGGGAACTCAAGAGGTTCGGCTGTGTTTTGTCGTTAGTATTGCCTGACATGTTTAAATTGCAGTGGGACCCTATCAATGCCTAACTGTAGTGTAGCCTTCCAGTGTAGCCGGACTAGAACTATTTAGGTTAGACCTTCCAACCGTCCAGCCATTCCAGTGAGGCTGTGGCTGCGGCTAACAGACCTGCGAAGTCAGAGTGCAAAGTGCGCAGATGCTGCACTCCCCCACCCACTGGACCACCCGGACCACCTACTTCCCCCCTTTCTAGAGCCACCTTTCTACCGGCACAAATACCACTACTCCTTGGCTAGCCGCAGCTTCCCTTTCCAGATCTAAGAGCAAGCGAGAGAGCAAGAGGAGCGGAGAGAGCGCGGAGAGAGTAGGCGCACCACGAAGGAAGTTCTCGATGCCTGGAAGCTGCAGCCCGAAAATTGTCCTGTTAGTACGGGAAAACTATTGACAGGCGAAAGGTCTAAGGCTCACCTATAGGCTGGCAGAAAAAACAGATTAATACCTGAAATCTCCACAGGCCGAATGGCTCAAGTTCAACTGAATGGAGGCAATGCCTCCCAGAGCAACGGAAACAACGTAGAGGATAATGAACGTAAGTCTGCTATTTGGTAAATAAAATCACAATAGGAAATTGAGCGTTTGACAGGAAGGTACATACATAGGTATTGGTGTCTGCACAAGCTTAGACGAAGGACATAGTGTGTGTGGTGTGTCAGGATGTAGATATGTATGTATGTATCATACGTGATGTATGTCAGCGGCAGCTAGCATCTTCGACATAGCTAGGATGCTTTTTGGCCTGGCGTTGGGTGGTAGATTGAAAGAGAGAAAGAAGGACAAGCGAGAGAGCTGGGAGCGCACAAATAATGCTGCGAGAACGCCAGGGCTGCGACAGGAGCGCAAAAGCAACAAGTTTTTGAATTTAATTGCTTTTTCTATTCTAGCTCTTAGAACAAAAAAGGACAGAGTAAAAATTTGACTATTTTATTCTTTCTTGTTGACAATTCAATTATGATAATTTGTCCTTTTTTGTTATATTTCGCCAGGATCTTGAAATATATTAAAATGTGTGCTTTATAATAAAATTCCAAAGTCAATCAACCTATTCACAAATTTTGATTTAAAAACAATATATTTTATCATATCTATAGCCTACCAAATAAGTGATGATGACTTGGAGGACTTGGATGATGATTGTCTGCTGGAAGAGGCGGATACCTCGGGAGCCAATAGTCTAGGGCGTGGTCCCTACGAGCGAGCTTGGACCACAGAGGCCACTAGAGCATTGATCCACATTCGTGGTCCCATGGAGGGAAGCTTCACAGAGGGCAGGTTCGTGGGAGATCATACCCAAAAGTATTTAAAATTACTTAAATCCACCAACCCTTTTCCAGACAAAAAAGGACCGCTCTCTGGTTGCACTGCACCCGGCAACTGCAACGTTTGGGATTTCGATACTCCGCCGCCAAGGTGCAGAAAAAGTGGCACAACATCCTCATCACCTACAATAAGAATTTGAGCAAGAAATACGTATCCGGCTACGTACACTGGGAGTTCTTCGAAGAGATGTTCAAGTATTTGCAGGGAAAGAAGGCCGACTTTGATTTGCAACTACCCCAGCAATCCTTAACAGTGGCACCGGCTCCAACAACTAATGGACAAAACCAAACCCAAGGACTTCCCCAGCAAACTATTCAACTTCAACCCACTCCCGTTAACATAAAACCCGGAACCCCGCAAATGCAGCAGCAAATTCCAACCCAGAGTAGTGCTAAGGAGGGTCAACCATATATCACGCCCGTAGATCAGGTCCTGCTGCAGGCTCAGATGAATCTGGACAGCAAGTCCAACGATGAGTTCGATGAGGATAGCAATAGCATGTCGGAGGTGCGCCAACCTAAGATGGAGTACGATGGCGATCAAGTGGCGGAGGCGGAACGCACCAGCGATTGTAGTCAGCATTTGGAGTCCAATGGCAAGCTCTACGATCTGGCACGACCTATGGGCTCAGTCCCTGGCATCCCCGATGACATCTGGTGGAAGGACTACTTCGAACGCAAACTGGAGGTGGAGCGGGAGAAGATGGAACTTCAGCGGAGTTTGCAGCGCGAACAGGTGCAGATCCAGAAAATGTCTCTCGTGCAGCAGGAACGAATCGAGCGGATGAAGATCGATGCCATCAACAGCCTGACGGCCACGCTGCAGAAACTCGTGGAGGCCAAGTGCCGTAGGGCCTAAGTCAAATCTGTTCCTAATCCCAATCCCTTCCAGAAACTCTCGATAACTTTAGGCTTCTATTTATATGTATCTAGTTGTGTGTGTAAATACAATTTCGGCCAACTAAGAAAATTGCATTACGTTTGCCAGTCAATCTCGAAGATGCTGGCCAGGGAGCTCTGCTTGGATTGAGGTTTCTCCAGGCCAAAGCTAACACTCCAAATATCCGTGGAGAATACCAGACCTTCTCCAGCATTTAGCCGCATTCTCAAACTGGGACACACTCCCTTATCGCAGGGATTTTTGGGATGAAGAACTACTTCAAAGTGTCCACTGAGTTGTTGGATGAGAACCAGACCACGCACATAAATCTCCGACTGTTTTAACTTTTGCTGATGGACTGCTAATAACCAGCTGGAGTAATACGGCGCCAGGTGAAGAGGATAGTAGTAGGGACGTTCCAGGAATAGTCGAGAGGACTTTACCGCCTTCTTCTGGCAGTTTCTTAGTTGAAGATGCCAATTATTCGATGACTGTCCCTGCCAGGAGTGGATCTTGTCCAGAGCTGCCTCTAGGTTGAAAAGCTTTCTCAGCAGCAGATTGCTGGAAACATCACAGGGTTCACTGGACAACCATTGCGGCGATTTCTTCTCTATAAGATTTAGAAGATTAATGATATCCATTTCCAAACCAGCATCTGTTACAATAACAGGTTGTCCCCGATCCAGGTACTCAGATTCCAAAGTGGAGTAGCTTACATTCGAAGCAGTGGCTATTCCCTCTGTTTGAAAATAAGACAAATGAAATAAGGGTAATTTTCTTCAAATTAAACATACCTAAACTTTCACAAAGAGCACAGTTTTGCCATTGGGTCTCATATTTTCCCAATGGAGATGGCTGCTCCTGGACAAGCTGATCTCGTGGAATTAAGCACTTGGCATTATAGTAGGGTGTCCAATCCCAGAGGGGAAGGATCTGAATGAGCAGCAATCGTCCTACTGCACTCGACCACCAACCAAAGGTGTCGCTACATAACCAAAGCAAATAGATAATCACCAAGGGCAGTAGGATAAGACACCATTTCTTAATTCTAGCCAGGCGTATTCTCCAAATCAAAGGTTGACAAATGGCCAGCATTTCCTTTGCTGAAAATTCTTGCTTTTGGCAATTCTCTAAAAATGTTTTCAGCTCCTCCTCCATGTCCTTCGCGCTTTCCCAGACAGAAATTGAATGAATCCTTTTTAGCCAGGAAATTCAATGGTTTTCTAACCACGCACATGCGCGAGATAAGCAATTTCCTCGGAGGAAAACCTAATTTTCTAACTCATTGCGCGCCCAGACGTGCATCTTGGCGATAAGTGGCACAAAGGATGCTTCTATCAGCCGAAAGAAAGTGAAACCATATTGAGCTTTAAGTATTTATTGGCTAGAAATGAAAAAATATTGAATGTTCTGCTTGGGGGAGGTATATTCATTGCGGACTTTCAGATGTTGAGGTTTTCTTTGGTTTTCTTTACTTATCATCACCAAAAGGAGGAGGAGGACCACGTGGGGGCTTGCACTTGGTGAAGAACTCCTTCATATCGGTGCACTCTTGGGAATCATTTCTCACCGAGTCTGGGCAATTCTTCATCAGATTTCGGAACACACAGCCCATTAGGTGGCCGGCATCATGAGGACACAGTGGCAATCCAGGTGGCGGAGAGGGACGTGCTGGTAAATTGGCCTCGAACTCTATAATCTTGGTGGCACATGTGGTGAAGGCCTGTGTGGCAGCGGTCTGCAGGTCGGAACTGTCCTTGAACACCACCTGCAGATAGCTCTTCAGCTTATCCTGATCCAATTTTTGGTTCTGATAGATGCCAGTTTCGTTGAAGATGCAGGAGAAGAAGCACTAAAAGGTGGTAATCCGAGTTATAGTGATCCAAGATCCTGTTCCAGAGATACTCACAGGTGGTGGATGAGGATGATGATGGCGGCGCGTGCTCTCAAAGGATCCAGTGGCCTCTCCATCTGAAGGTGGCGGTGGGGTCATGTCAAACTTTGAACACTTCTGCTTTAACTCGGCGGTGACAAAATCCGGCATGGGGCAGCAGGTTTTGGGATTCACAAACGGGGGACGCTTGCTGCAGTCCACGTCAGCCGAAGCGGCTGCATTCTGTTAATGGATTAGTTATAACCGGGCTGAAATCGCGTGATACCAATTCATCATACCAAGCAGATGCCGACAACGATCAATAATAGTTGCGATTTCGAAAGCATTTTCGGTTTGGCGGCTCAAAATGAAACTGATTCTCCAACAGAAATGTGCCCTCAATTTATAGAACCCACCGAACGATCGAAAAAAAGCAGCAATTGATATATGTTTATAACTATGTGGTATTATAGTCTATTCCCAGCGTGTGCACGTCAATTAACTTTTTTTGTCTGCTCATTTAAGTTTGGTGGCAATTATTTCAATTGGCCAGAAACCATGCAAAAAGGGCTTATATATATCGGATTTATCACCTAATCTAGCACTCACACTCAGTTGCAACTCTTGTGAATAACCTAAAATTTACACGGTGTTATTTAACTTATAATACACGTTTACAGATGGATTCCACAAAGATTACCTTCAGACAGACTAATTAAAAATATTTAAACATGTTTTTATAATATGAATTCAGCCAATAATTACATTTAATGTGACACTAATAAAATATTGTGAAATACTGGTGGTCATGACTAATGAGTAAACAAATTAAATGGCTATATTTTCGGGTGAAGTGATACATGACTCCCATGTCGCAGAAATTCGTTTTAATTTGTGCTTGGTACTGTCATCTATTTAATGTACAGGTAACTTTGAACTAAAGCGGCGGTTCAGCCGCATCCAATGTCGATTCAGTTCATCCTTTGAGGGTCAATTGCGTCACAGCCTCTTTGACGGTGGGATATTGAAACTTGAAGCCCGAGGAGAGGGCTTTCTGGGGCTTGACTTTGGCCCCACTCAGGACAAGAGCTGCCCGCTCTTTGCCAAAGATGGCATGGACCACAAACTCTGGTATGCTGAAGATGCAGGGACGATGCAGGGCTTTGGCAAAGGCCTGTCAAGAAGATGAAATATTACATTCAGATTTTATAATAGGAATTAAGGTGGACCTACTTTGCTGAACTCCAAGTTGCTGACTATTTCGGGAGCCACGGCATTGACCACTCCTGGCACTGGTTTCTCTATGATGTGCTGTATCAAGCTGCACAGATCGTGCATGTGTATCCAGGGCATTATTTGCTTGCCACTGCCCAAAGGGCCTCCGACTCCCAGCTTGAAAGGCAGCCACATAGACTGAACCATTCCACCGCCATGACCCACAACAGCACCGCATCTTAATATGGTCTGGAAAGGATTGAGGGGTCTTATTAATGGGGATTCTAGATATTCTCTACGAGCAACTCACGCATTTGCAATCCTGCTCATCGCCAGTGTGGGCAGCCTCCTCCCAGGCCAAGCACAATCTGGACATGTAATCGAATCCTTGCACCTGGTCCTCCTCGTTGTAAACCTTGGACTCGGACGGTGGATAGTGGCTAACGCCGCAGAAATTCACAAAGGAGCTGACCTGGGGAGCCGCCTTGATGGCCTGAGCCAGTGTTTTGGACGAGTTGATGCGGGAGTTCCAAACGTTCTGCTGGAATCCTGGGGTCCAGCGCCTCGTCGGATCCAGGGTGTTCTGACCCGTGGCATTTACCACAGCGTTCACGGAGTCCGGTATCCCGTTCTTCTCCAGCTCGTGCCAGGTAATGCGCTTGAGACCTGGCATCCGGGAGATCACCGTCACTTCGTAACCCTTTTGGGCCAGGTGCTTCTCCAGATTGCGGCCAATGAAGCCGGTGCCGCCACCTGAGCGAGAATCCGGGTTAGTTCGCCTGGCCAGAGGCCGTGGTTTCCACCTTTGAACCTACCTATCAACGCGTGCCTCGACATGTTTGGCCGAATCTCAAGATGTTAGATGTTAGATGGTTTTTGCGAATTACGACACTTTGCAAACGTAATGTAATCAAAAAACAGCTGATTTTGCAGGCAGTTGCCAGATCAACGCACTTGAATAGGATACTTTGTGCTGCCACTTTTTAAAAACTTTTAAGTCAAAGGCGCGAAAAAAAAAGCAACTTTAAAAGTCGCCTGAAATTGAAATTTAAGTGTTAACATAATTAAAAATATTACAAAATACTTATACAGCCTAACTTTAAGCAAAAATAACATATTTCCATTTGTTTATCTCAAAGAGTAACACTTATAAAATTCAAAACCATGTATAAGTGATTTTTTATAATTAATGACTTCGACTTATAAAAGTTTTCGAGTTATCTTTGATAAGAATTTAAAGATTAATGGATTTAAATATAGATTTTATAACCTGGGATAAGAAGTTAAAGAGCTTCAATGAGGTGAATATCAAATAAAATAATAAATAAGAGCATGTTCTTTACAAAACCAAATATTCGTCACCCATTAAAGTTGTTCAAAAACCGACCCAAGTGACTTACTATCGCAAATGTTCAATGACTTTTCGGGCCGACGACGCGACATCTGCAGAGGCTTTTAGTGTCACTCCCGCACAGCATTTAAAGTGCACCGATAAGCGGAATAAAGGGCAGACACTAAACCTAAATTGCAAGGCGCTTATCGCTTTAAGTTGAGCGTTGAAAGGAGCAGACCCCCCGATCCCAATAAAAGTGCAAATTTCGCATAAAACGCCTGCAGCCAACTATAATACAAGTGGCTATGAAGCTTTCACTCCTTAAGCCAGCTTATATGTACTTCTCTATATATATATATTTATACATATAGTGTATATATGGACAGACATCGGGCAGACGCATGTGGCCAAGTTAATGGCGGACGACGGAGCCAAGTTCAAGTGCAGCAGACGACATAACGTCATATCCTTCGCTTCGCTGCGTGTTGTTTTGTTTTCGTGGCAAGTCATTGGAAACTCATTTGCATACACAGTGCCGGCATTAACCAACCGAACCCCACTTTCTCCGCCCCCGCCCCCATCGCCAAAGTGGGTGTGGCTGGCTTTTGGGCTAAGAATTTGCATTAAGCGCTGCAATTATTGCGCTTCATTGAGTGAGAAAGGCAAAGTGATGGCGGTATAAAAAGGATCTGGAGCCATAATTACGGGTCTGGCGTTTTTATCTAGTCCTGCAATCAGGCAGTAATCACGTACAAGCCGGCTGAATTACGGCTGAGAAGCGTGCATATAGTTTAAGGGGGCCAAAACAGAATATTGGGGTTTATATTACTATCTGCACATTTAAGCTAGTTTTTATTTGGTTTTAATAGTGGTTTTCGAGAGATATTGTGTTTGGTAATTAAAAAACATTAGGTTTAATGAAGTAAAATCTATGTTTTAGATTTAATATTGCACACCTTATATTAATATCATAAACTCCACTCTTCCAGTAAATCTATTTTGTGCTTTAAATTATTTTTTTTTATGTTCAAAAATGTATAACTTTTATCAAATAAATAAATAAATCAAAAAACTCTAAAGAGCTGAATTTTATAATATTATAATATATTTTATGTCAATAACTTTTTTGTTAAGAACGATTTTAAGATAAGATGGTAAGATAATATATGATAGCTTCATATCGAAATATATTACATATCAAATAAATAAATATATCGAAAAACTCTAGAGTTATAAAATTTGGTATTAAATTTTGTAGTTATAACTTTATTTTGTAAGAACTATTTTAATGGCAAGATAAGATAAGATTAGCTTTATATTGTCCTAAAATAAATCTTTTTCTTTTGTCAAGAATTTAAGTTAAGCATTTTCTCTCCGTATCCCATTGACAGTCATCATCGATACTTGAACGTGGGTTAATGGGCTCCGCCAATAGAACTTTAATTTCCTCGGCGCTTTGCTTCTGACACTTGTCACTGATAAAATAGGAGTTGAGTCGAATAGAGTGGAGCGGAGGGGAGGGGAAAAACTTTCTAGACAAAAGGAAAATATGGAAACGATGATGGAAAGGATCTGCAGAAAAAGTTGTCTCGTGTCTCGCTGTTTGAGTTGCACTTCCGGTGCAAATGCAGATACACAGATACGGATACTCAGCTTGTATCTTTCGCACACTGTCGGTTTGGGGGACAAACTTCTTTGTTTGTTTTATTGACAAACAGACAGGGCGACATCGCCGCAACAAAGTTGCAAAGTCAATGGCACAACATGGACGAAAATCCGAATGTGCATCCAATATGCACCCATCCATATTCAGCCATCCACCCACCGAAGTGATTTGTGTAGCATGTGGGTGGAGCTGGTATGGTGTGGCATCCACACCACATCTCACTGGCCATTGACACACCACAGCACACAACATCACACCACACACACTCCCTGACAGTTTTATGTGCGGTCTGAGTCGCTTTTTTTGCCGCCTTGCGGTTGTCTGGCGGGGATCGGGACTCGGGATCCGGAGCGGGATCGGGGATTAGCCGGGTCTGACAGTTGGTCACCTCGGTGGCACAGCATAAAACTTAATTCTGTCATAATTGCGATGCAGCTAACAAGTTTTGCAATTCAAACTAGTCATGTCACACCTAGAAAAAAACACTAACTTTGTTTGACCATATTTCATTAAGATAATCAAACTATTAAATTATTATAATAAGGCTTCATAAAAATATTTACTATATCATTGATATTATTCGGAACTGAATTAAGCTTTGTAGGGCTTATAGAATTCTAAAACAAAGTTTTAATTGTATTTTTCAAAATGATCTTATTCTTTTGTTTTTATTAATTTTTATTGTATTAATATTTTATAATGTACAATCATTTAAATCTTGTGTAATTAATACCGCTTTTATTTTTTGGTTTTTGTGACTATTTATTTTTTGAAAATTATAAATCAAGTCGGTTATACGCAAAATAAATCCCAATAAAATATTTAAAATATATTTTTCCTTAGTCATCAAACCAAGAATAAATAACGAGTAAATACATTTCAGTGGATTGTAAAACCAAACCTTTGCTTGTGCAACTTGCAGGCAGCTGTTTTTTCGGTTTTTAAATAATTGAAAAGCCCAGAATGCAGCAAAGTTCGGAGTTCAAACTTTTCCCAAGCCGACCAGAGACAAGTTGGGTGGAAAGTTTCGTTGATTGCTCTTGACGTTAATTGAAATTTGGCCAGGCCAGTCCGACTAATTGGCATTGGCCAAGGTGTTGCGATGCGATGCGATCCTGCGGTTATCTCCATTACATTAGTTGGCCTGCTCACCCCAACCAATTGGCCATAATTGAATTCAGAGTTTTGGCATTCCTTTTGACCTACGAAGTTTTTGCGTCGTTTTTCGGCTTGTTTTTCTGCGACTTGTTTAAAGGAAAGTTCAAAAGCATCATAAACAATCTGTGGAGCGCACATATCGCGCAGACAATTTGTCTGCCATGAAATATAAAACTGGGTCAGACGAAGTGGCGGCGCCGCCGAAAGATTGCCGCAGACAGCGTCTT